TTATTCTGGAGGAGGCCCCAGATGTCTTAGCATTAGGCTTGCTACGAATTCGCCGCCCACAAAAGAAGTCCTTTACATAAAAGAGATCTAGGGCGGATCGTAAGGCCACAAATGACCAAAAGAAGTATACGTCAAAATGGTAGCACGTACGGGCCCCATCTACGACAGTAATGTAAGGGTAAAAAGGATCAAGGAAGACAGCAAATACACATGATATCGTAAATACTATATCCCACTTTCGGAGGAACGTCGTTGCTGGCTGCTCATCATGTGGACCAAGAATCTCCTTTGTTGTTGGCCATTGTCCACTTGATCTGTGCCCTCCAGCTTCATCATGATCAACACTAAACAAGACACACAAACAAACAAGCATTTAGATACAAGTTTTTCTTTAAAAGAAAAAAGGAAAATGTTCTGAGAATTAAAGAAAGAAACTAGCCTTTAAATCAGAAGACAAAAACTGACAATGTTTGTGAAATCGTGAATACCACGACGACTAACTGGGGACCCAAAGGACATTCTATGTACAACGAACCCCTAATTCTTTATACTTATAAAAAAAAAAAAAAAAAAAAAAAAAAAAAAAAAAAAAAAAAAAACTAACAGAACCTAAATAAATAAAAGAGGAAAAGTTTGGCTCCTCAAAATTGAGGAGTTCCTCTAGTTTTGACACGTGTCAAATTATTTTAATATTCGTTGTTTTTTGGTTGTTGAAACTTTGTTAATGTTACTGAAATTTGATAAGTGTCAAAATCAAATTGGTTGTGAGGAGGAGGTCCTCCTCAATCTTAAGGAGCCAAGCCATGCTCCATAAATAATAAGCAGCTCCCCCATCATTTAGGACAATACTTCCATCCTTACCCATAAGGAGGAACTCCTCCTTACCTTCTATTTGTCGTCATGATTGTGTTTTTTAGAGTTCCTTGCTCATTACAGTTGCTACATCTTGATCAAAAGCTGCAGTGTAGTTCTTTGTATGTTGCATGAGTTATTGGGCATGGTCAAAGGGTAAGGAGTGGGATGTAGTAGTGGTATTGGGCGTGGTTGAGAGCTACGTCTCCCTCCTCTGTTTTTTGTGGGGGCGGCGGGGAGGGTTGATGACAATGGCGGATTTGTGAAGCCAAATTGGGGTCATGTGTAGTGAGGTTGTGGGCGTGGGGTTATTGGGTGTGGTTGTGGGCGTGGGGTATTGGGCGTGGTCATGTGTGTGGCTGTCGTTGTCGTTTTGGGTGTTCGGTGTATTGGATGGGGACAAGTGTATGTGATTGAGCTTAAATGAAATAAGATAATTTAGATAATGGCATTTTTCATAATTTTGATGTGTTTTCAGTGTATTATTGTAAAATTATATGCCACTTTTTGGCCATTCACCTTAACCAAATTAGGAGAAATTTTATTATTATCTACCATGATAGTAAACTCCCAAATGACTATAAACCAAAACTCCATTTAAATTAATATTATATGAATTTTTAAATCAGTTTTTTTCTCCATCCTTATATTAAATCCAATGATGGGTGACTACAAATTCCTTGGACCATAGAGTCCAGGAGAATTGGGATGTAGGGTTTCATTTCCCCCAATTTCCCATTTAACAGGGAACCATTTCCCATACCTGAACTTATCAAACATTTGATTTCTCGTTCCCATGCCCTATTTCTCATGAACCAAATGCACAATAAGTTTTTTTTTCATTCTCTATCATTTAATTTCTCATTCTCATTCTCTATTTTTTTTTCATTTTGTAAATAAATCTATATAAAAAAAATCATTTCCTTGGTACGTATAGGATCTTTTGTTTATACATAGAAAAGTTTAAAGAAAGAAAATCTGATCTTTCAACCAGGAATTAAAGAAGAAGAAAAAACTAGCTAACCTTATGGCTGTTGAGTCATGACTGGAGTCCGCCATAACTGAAGCTTATTAATGATAGGATATGTCCTATGAAGTATGAGCAGCAGCAAGAAGCATGTTAAAAGCCAGTACCACAAAAGTTGGATATAATTAGCAAGTCCTAGTAAGAAGAGAAGCCCCCTGCTATAACCCGAGACTAAAGAGATGATTCATATAAGATGGATGGAGAGAGAGTTTAAAAGTGCATTGAAACTTACACCAGTACTTGCAGTAGTGATACTCTACCTGATCAGTTCATTGAGAGAGAGAGAGAGAGAGGGAGAGAGAGCACGAACAACACGAGGTAGAATGGGTAACTAGGATGGTTCTTGCCTTAACTGATTTCTCTCCTCTTGTTTCCCTTTTTGTGGTGGAGGCCCCAGATGTCTTAGCGTTAGGCTTGCTACAAATTCGCCGAGGACAAAATATGGCAATGTCCATTGCATAAAGAAGAGAGAGAGAGAGAGAGAGAGAGAGAGAGGAATACTTAGCACGTAAGGATGAGAAGACAATGGAATCCGAATCTAAAATTATGCAGTGATAATTGACAAGGGTCTGATTGGTGGTCAAAAAAAGTAGAAAGTTAAAGAGAGTATTTATGCACTACAAAAAAATTGGACAATAGTCACCTTTTCTTTGGTCACTATTGGTTACTATTAGTCACCTTTATTCGTGACTACAAGCTTTAGTCACCCTGCAGTAACGATTGGTCAGTGTGTTACATATGTGTCCGTAATTATTGATGTTTGTCACCATAATAAACCATTCATGACATGAGTTTGTCAGGCTGTACATCATGTCCAATAACCATCAGTCATACATATTTTATTATTTTGTCAGGCAATGCGTCTTTTATTATTTTGTCATGTCCAATCACCCTTAAGCCACCAACATCCCAAACCCACCCAACTCCAAACGGAAAATTGTGCCAACTCCAAACGGCCTCTCCCACCCCCACCCAACACCGTCAACCGAACCACCACTTCCCAGGCAGCAACACCATCTCCACCTCCCCTATGTCCCAACCACACGATTTGTTTTATTTTCATTTTGATCTCCCTTAAATATCCTAGCCATATCAAAATCTGCAATTTTGGGGTACATAGAAGCATCTCGTAGAACATTGCTTGTCTTTAGATCTCTATGAATGATTCTTAATCTTGAATGTTGATGAAGATATAACATCACCATAGCAGCAATCCCACAGATTATTTCGAAGTATCTTGTCCAATTCAAAAGCGCTCTGTTTTTTTCAAGTATTCATATAATCTTCTGTTCACAGCCTTATCGCTGCTATTCCTTTCCATTGTAAAGCACACCCTGAAATTATAATCCAAACTTAACTCATATTCTTTTGAGGAAACTATTAGAAATCAAATAATGCATGACAACACAAAAAAGTGAAATGATTCTGAGGGCGGCTACCTTATAGATGTTTATGTATGTTGCCAAGTCTAGACAAGGTAATATTCCAGTTTTTGACATGCGGCATGAGTAATAGTTTTTTTAAAATATATTATTTTCAGGATAAGATATTTAATTACGTGGAAGAAGTACGATCTTATATACCTATAGAATGAGAAGAGCAGCACAAATGCAAGGTAGAATGCCTAAGAACTTGTTTTCCTCTTTTCGGCCAGGGCGGTCGACGAAAGGAACTTTTGGTCCTTTTTCTTTTTTGAGTGCGGGGCGTGCCACCACCAAGCCCCGAATTTAGGCTTGAATGAAATGTGAGTAGATGGATGTGTTGCGTCCGAGATTTGACTTTAATCAAACGATTGTTCGGCCGAGCAAGGAACCTCCTCACGCAATGGCGGACGTAGCAAGGCGCAAGGAGGTGCAGTGCACCTCCCCTTGCTGGAAAAACCATTGTGGGTGCTTCAAATTGCCCATTTGCTCAACTGGTGTACAGATTACCTTATTTCCATTTTCAACATTTAAGTAAATGTCTTGGTTCTTTTACTTTTATTTATTTTTATATTACTCCATTTACTTAAGTTTACAATGTAAATAAGGAAGTACCCCCCATTTGGATTCAAATAAAAATACTAGAAAATCAAATTCCCACCAAATCAAAATATAAAAATTCGGTTTTAGTGCAAAATACGATTTAGGCTAAAAATGATGACTCATTAAGTCAATATATACTTCATACTAAAATCCCATAAAATCAAGTTTTCTTATTTGATGTGTAAAGAATAAAAGCCGCCAAAAATTATCTTGAGAAAATGATTATTCCAAAAAATCATTTTTCATACTTAGTCAATATTGCACCTCTGCTAAAAAATTTCAGGATCCGCCAGTGTCCTCACGACCTAGGTTCTTTCACTACTTCAGGGTCAAGGCTTTATGTGAGCGACCAAATGATGTGGAGTGAGTGGAGATGTAGATGGAAGGTGAAACGTAATGAAACGGAGAACAAGTGCGTAAAGTAAAGGTGCTTAAACTTAAATATAATTTAAAGACAAATGCGTAAAATAAAGTGTGAAAGATAAATAGCGTAAAGACGAGAATTAAAGTGCGATAAAATGAATCAAAGCGATAAGTAAAGCAAGAACGAAATGAAAGCGATAAGAACGATAAAATAGAATGAACTTGAAATTAAACTTAATTGAAGTGCGATAACAATGAAACGTAAATCAATTGAAATAAACTTGAATTTAAATGACAAGAAAATATAAATTGAACGAGAATTTAAACTTATACTAAGAAAAGGAAGAACTTGCTACACTAAGTGCATGAAAAGTAAAATCCTAAGTCTAGGAAAAGAAAAGCGCGAGACGAAAAATAGATTTGTCTGTCTGATGTTGTGTGTCTTGTCTTTGGTGCAGAGTGAAAAGCACATCCGCGCTATCTAATTTGGCTAAGCCCATCTCAGCATTTTCTCAATGTTTTAGATCCAATTAATGTGACACATTTTTAATATTCAGAGCCACACCCCAAGAAAAACAAAAGTATTTACATTAATAAAAGATATGGCATTTTTGATTAATTTTATACTAAATAATCCTTGTAAATTGGACCAAATCTCTCTCCTCACGTCACATGTTAGATGAGGAAAGAGATGGGCATGAGAGGGTAAACACTGTAGCATCCAATTCTTAGTCCTAGACAGGCCTTGCATGACGACGGCGCCATTTTGCTTGTATACTACAAGCTGCCAGATGTTGCCACCTCTCCAACTGGGACTCCTCTATATGACCGAGCCTCTTGCTAAAATGCCACCAAAATGTGGAGACAACAATGTTCAAGTTGTTGGCTCTGATGGCAAATGCTTCAACTTTCGTATGGGCCTTGACAATTCTGGTTGAGTTGGGAAATTCAGAAAAAGAGCTCAATTTTGATGCCCAATTTAGAAGCTCTTCTCCGTAGAAGTCACCTTTCACAAGACACTTGATCGCTGACGCTGAGGAACCACTTGCATTGGTTGGGTATGACCATGCCGTACCTTGGGTGATGAAGAGCATCTTATCAAGTGGTTCTCCCTCTCGAAAAATATACTTGTCTTCGCTATACTTCACCAACTGAAGATGCTCACAGATTGCTTTCAACACGTTTTCATTCATATTTTCCAGCATTGGGACCTATATAATATTAATTTTATTCAAGAAAAAAACAAAGAGAATAAATTAATCTAGCAAGGGATATAAATTTATACTAGCTAAGAATACGAACGCATGCATGTTATGTTATGATGAAAAATCCCATAAACATGTACATACTTTTTTCTTTACTTCAAAATCTTGTAATATATATATTCCATAATTTGGTAGACAAATTAAGTACTTACTTTTTTTAGTGAATTCAAGCTGAGAAGCCGCATAATACGTCTTTGGTGTACAATAGGAACAAGAGAGAGAATATTCTCCACATCAACTTCTTTGTTTTCTTTGACTTTTTGGTGTAAGTTTTTCATGATGACCATCTTCAAATTCTTATCATAAAGGCCGTTTTTATACAACCATAAATCTATATCTAGATTCATCATCTGCATCTTCTGTCTCAATTTAAGCTGATTTGACATTTGTTGTGACATCTGTATGTCGTTAATTCCATAACCAGTGGAATGAAGATGTGAAAAATAAATGATTTAGATCTTTGAAAAAAATTTCATAGGGAACCTAAAGGATGTCCCTCAAATAAAATTATTTGAGAAATCCCTCAATAGAATAAGACTATATATATAAAAAGGCTGATCACACAAACCTGTATCCTTGTATTGAGATATATTAAAAATAGCACCATGCCACTTATAGATACCAAAATCGTAAAAAATATTTCCACCCCATAAAGGCTAGTCTCGAGGTTTGAACCAAAAGAACTACAAAATTAAAAAAGACAATATATTAGATACTAGATACTAATGTCTAGGAAAATTCTTCAATAAGTATTTTATGTTAAGAACATATTTCTAATCTTGACTGTTGGATTGCATATATATATATATATATATATTGCATATTAAATCTAGCAACACATCTAACGAATGCAATCCAATGGCTGAGATTAGAAATATGTCACCAATCCTTAACTTAATATTTATTGGAGAATCTCCCCAATGTCTAAATTGAAGTAGTAACTTTAGTGCGCTTTATATTTCCTTCACCAGATTTGAACTTAGTTCTTTATCCAAAAAATAAAAAAGATTTGAACTTAGTTCTTTCTTCAACAAAGAAATGTCATTAATTTTTTTTTAAATTTATAAAAGTGATTAGAATTTTATTAAATCAATAAGAATAACATTATAAAAGGATACAGATAGTAAAGAGAGTCATCCCAATAATAATATGGCAGATATGAGTAAAACTTCCCTAGTGACATAAGCCAGCCGAAGAGCTGAAACGATCTGGAGAGAATCACTCTCCAAAGTAACTTTTCTATAACCCCTCTCAACTGCCATTATTTCCTCGAATCTAGTCCAATGACATTAAGGACAAAAACTAGCCACTAACCGGCATAACTCTCCTAGATAAACTAAGAACACCTAGCAAACTCAACTAAATTGCTGCACTCATAAGAGAAAAAAACATAGAAAATTCATAGACTTTTTGGAATTTATTGAACACACTAAACAAAAAAAAAATCCTAAAACAATGACGGCAAAAGGAAAACCAAACACCGCTAATATTCTCTCGGGACACAACATAGAGAGCGTCACCTATAGTTACTCCGGGGCCTCAACACACAAATGAGCAGTGGATCTACCGTGACCAAGCTGCAACACCTCAAAGAGGGGCCTCACAAGATGAGGCACAACCAATACCAGCCCAAAAAAGAGTAAATCGATATAAGTCCACCAAAAACCAAAGAACATCAAAGATACGAGGAAAAAACTCCGGGATCTAAAGAGTTCTCTCTCTCTCTCTTAGCAGTTAGGATTTTATAATACTTCTCTTTCTAATGTTGGATGATGAAGTGTTTTTTCGAAATTTCATTTAATTGTCCCAATGACATAATACAACCATTTAAATTTGTTTATGATAAGCATTAATTAGCTGTGGGATCTTATATAAAGTGAAATACTCTATTTAGAATTTTATATTTATAATTAATTAACGATTTCTAATCTCAGACGTTGGATACATGTATATTGCATATTAAATTCACCAACAAATCTAATGAATTTATATTAGAAATTTAGTTAATAAACATCAAACAGTTATGATACCTCAGATTGCGCAATCCCCACCAGAAACTTTGAAGGAAGTGTCGTTTATTAGACGGTGACCTGGTCAACTTAGACTGAAGAGCGTAGAGAAATATACCAAAATCGAAGATAGTTGTATCAGGTGGATTTATAGGGCATGATGCCTTTATACGTGTGATATTGAGACGCAATTTGGAGGAGTTAAAGTCGGCACCACAGTAGAAAGGATAAGCCGTTTGACCCAAATCACATCCCACCCTTTTATCGTGACAGGCGTGCAGCCAACAATCTAGCTCTCGTTGAATAGAAAGAAAGTACCACAAGGCTCCGTATAGCTGAAGGACACCAACAAGGCAGTTGTTAATAATAATCTCAAGTTTTAAAAAATATTTTTTATACAAAGTAAAAGTAATAATGGAGAAGAGGAATAATTGAACACATTGAGTTAGAAGGCCCTTGTGTTTTTTTCGTTTGATACAAAGCCCCTTGTTATTTTTGGGGCGGTTAAATGTGTGAGTATGGTCTCCATGAAGTGACAAAATCATTTTAGACGAAGTTTGGTTCGAAGTCCCATGACATTTGACAATGTGTGTGAAACAAACCTCTCTCTCCCAATATTGCATGTATAAAAAAAAATATTTAGGCATTAAATTGTGACAAATTATAATTTAGCTACTAAATTTGGACAGAAGCCAAAGTTCTGGTTCCCAAATTGGAAAAAAAAACCCCCAAATTTTATATATCCATTCAAACAATATTTGTTGTCATGATATATCCATCCATACATTGATAATGCAAGTTTACTTAAGGAAATTTTTGTGCTAAAACTAAATTAAAATAAGCTGAAATATATATATGAGAGATAAGATTGAAACTTACGTGAGCAGCAAGGATGAAGGGAAGAAAATTCAATATAGCATTAAGCCATCTTCCTATTTTAGTTTCTATGTTAGTACACCGCTTGAGAAGCTTGTATGTGTGATGAATCCGTAGTATATATTGGGCCGGAGTGAAGAATATTAGAAACAAATATATTTTTGAGATTGAATGAGATTGGCCAGCAATTATTACCTGCACACATTAATTATACAATGATTTATATATATCTATATACACACAGATTTAATTTGGCTTAAACCATCTATAATGTTTCCAGATGTTAAAAATAAATTACAATAATGATCTGTTGTATCCACATCTGGGTCTATTGGTGATTAATTTGCAGCTGCAGCTATACCAGAATGCTATTAGCTTGCAGCTATGCCATGCATGCGTGTGTGTTAACACTAAAACAAATAGTTGAAAAGCAAAATGAATGAAATTGACAGAATAGAAGGCTTATGTTGATTACCTGTGGAATGGGAAGAGCACGAAAAACACGAGGTAACAGCTTAAGGATGGTTCTTGCATCAAATGATTTCTTAGTAATAGGCTTGCTACAAATTCGCCGACGACAAAATATGGCAATGTCCATTGCATAAAAGATATCTAGGGCGAATCGTAAGCCCACAAATGACCACAACAAGTATAGGTCCGAATAGTAGCACGTATGGTCCTCATCTACGACAGGAATGTAAGGGAATACAGGATCAAGGAAGACAGCAAATACACATGATATCGTAAATACTATATCCCACTTTCGGAGGAACGTCGTTGCTGGCTGCTCATCATGTGAACCAAGAATCTCCTCTGTTGTTGGCCATTGTCCACTTGATCTGTGCCCTCCAGCTTCATCATGATCAACACTAAACAAGACACACAAACAAACAAGCATTTAGATTCAAGTTTTTCTTTAAAAGAAAAAAGGAAAATGTTCTGAGAATTAGAGAAAAAAACTAGCCTTTCAATAACTAACCTTATGGCTTTACAATATTTGTGACTTGTTATAATGACTAACTGGGGACCCAAAGGACATTCTATGTACAACGAACCCCTAATTCTTTATACTTATAACTTAAAAAAAAAAAAAAAAAAAAAAAAAAAAAAAAAAACTAAAAGAATAAATAAATAAGGAAAAAGTTTGGCTCCTCAAGATTGAGGAGGAGTTCCTCTAGTTTTGACACGTGTCAAATTATTTTAATATTCTTTGTTCTTTTTTAGTTGAAACTTTGTCAATATTATTGGAATGTGATAAGTGTCAAAATCACATTGTTGAAACTTTGTCATCATGATTGTGTTTTTTAGAGTTCCTTGTGTTGAAATTTTAAAAAGGTTTTAAAATTTTAACTGTTTTTATTTATTTAATTAATTTGATTGTTTTATTTTATTTATTGTGGGGATATACATATTTAATTTTCAGATATCATTATTTATATATTAAATGCCTTAATTTTCTGGTTTAATGTGGTGAAGGTTGCAACTTCTTGGATGCATATAAAAGGCCACTCCTCTTTCACATTTGATACACCATCAGAATATCACATGTCATAATCTGATTCTCTCATTTTCTACTTTTATATATATTCTCTACTTTCTATTAGTATTTTTTGGCAATGGTTATGTGACTTGGATACCTATATCGGTCTATGAACGTGCTCATAGCGGATCTTGAGTTTGTGTATAAGAAGTTGTATCTTGGAGTCTTGTAGACCGTCAGTACCTGCACGTAGGGAGGCTGCAAAGACTTTAGGATAACGTTCTTGACGTGCTTCACCTTACCAAGCTCACATTCTTACTTATAATTTATTTTGCTTTTACTTACCTATAAATTTGTTTTTCTTCAGTTTCATTGTACTTTAAAAACTTTCCAATTTGTTTATATGCTATTTATAATATAAAGGTTTTTGTATTGGCAACAATGTTTTCAAAGGCATGCGTAGGCGCGCGTCAAAGCGCGCATCGAAGCGAGGCAGTAGCAAATCGCCTCAGGCGTCTGCTTGTTTAGCTGTCTGCACGCTTAGCGTGCGCGTCGACTGCAAAGCGTACATAGGCGTTGTGAAGCGCCGCTTTGTGGGTCGGCGAAGCGCATCTGCCCAAGGAAGAAGATGACCCTGTGTATCTTTTTTAGGTTTTTTTTTTTCCAATGGAACGGCGTCGTTGCATAGTCCAAAACTAAGTTGAACGCCACGTTTTGATTTTAACGCACCCCCTTTAAAAGGAGCGTGCGTTTGATAGGCATCCAAATCATTTTTTAGTTTTTATTATTTTTAATAATATATTTAACATACAGACCTATATCTAGCTCTCTTTTTTTGGGCTTGACCTATATGTATATCCCTAATGCAATACTTCCCTCTCTTTTTTTCCTTCTAAATAAATACATTAATGGACCTATGTATATCCCTAATGCGATAATCTGCATCAATTTTAATTCTCACCCTAAGTTGAATCCTCTCTCTCCTTCCGTATGAATTCTCTTTGTACTATATATATATATATAATATGTTTTTGTTTTCCAAAATACACAATATCCATAAAATCCACTAAAAATAACACTCAAATCCACACATAAATGTTAAATATCATAGCATTAGATGTTTCATGATGAGGAGTGGGATGCATGAATTGAGTCTTTCTTTTGATGTTGAATAAGTACTTTATGTTTTGGGATTGATTATCACGCTTGAATGACAATTAGTACTTATGTTATAATATTTTTGTTCAATAAGAATTATTAGTACAATTTATCTATATTGTATTATTTATATATATTTTGTATTAAATTAAATTAATGTTCAAAAGGCTTACGCCTCACTGCTTCGAGGCTTACGCCTCGCATAGCGGACTGAAAACGCCTCGTCTCTACGCCTTGCCTTTTAAAACATTGATTGGCAAAGAGAAAAACTATAGTTTTTATAATACCTTGCTCATTACAGTTGCTACATCTTGATCAAAAGCTGCAGTGCAGTTTTTTGTATGTTGCATGAGTTATTGGGCATGATCGAAGGGTAAGAAGTGGGATGTAGTAGTGGTATTGGGCGTGGTCGAGAGCTACGTCTCCCTCCTCTATTTTTTGTTCTTAGTTTCCCTTACTATTTCAAGTATTGTCTTTTGCTCCCTTGCTTTTTTTTTTCACGGGGTTAAACAACTGCCATCTCTCTTCTTTAGTTAGTGGTCGAAGTTGGTGGGAAGGGTTGATGATGTCGACTTGTGAAGCCAAATTGGGGTAATGTGTAGTGAGGTTGTGGGCCTGGGGTTGTTGGGTGTGGTTGGTGGGCGTGGGGGTATTGGATGTGGTCATGGGCGTGGCTGTCGTTTCTCGTAGAATTTTGGCGTGGTCGTTGTCGTTTTGGGCGTTTGGTGTATTAGATGGGGTCAAGTCATGTGTAGTGAGGTTGTGGGCGTGGGGTTATTGGGTGTGGTTGGGGTCAAGTCATGTGTAGTGAGGTTGTGGGCGTGGGGTTATTGGGTGTGGTTGTGGGCGTGGGGTATTGGGCGAGGTCATGGGTGTGGCTGTCGTTGTCGTTTTGGGTGTTTGGTGTATTGGATGGGGGCAAGTGTATGTGATTGAGCTTAAATGAAATAAGATAATTTAGATAATGGCATTTTTCATAATTTTGATGTGTTTTCAGTGTATTATTGTAAAATTATATGCCACTTTTTGGCCATTCACCTTAACCAAATTAGGTGAAATTTTATTATTATCTACCATAATAGTAAACTCTCAAATGACTATAAACCAAAACTCCATTTAAATTAATATTATATGAATTTTTAAATCAGTTTTTTTCTCCATCCTTATATTAAATTTAATGGTGAGTGACTACAAATTCCTTGGACCATAGAGTCCAGGAGAATTGGGATGGAGGGTTTCATTTCCCCCAATTTTCCATTTGACAGGGAACCATTTCCCATACCTGAACTTATCAAACATTTGATTTCTCATTCCCATGCCCCATTTCTCATGAACCAAATGCACGATAAGTTTTTTTTTCATTCTCTATCATTTAATTTCTCATTCTCATTCTCTATTTTTTTTTCATTTTGTAAATAAATCTATAAAAAAAATCATTTCCTTGGTACGTATAGGATCTTTTGTTTATACATAGAAAAGTTTAAAGAAAGAAAATCTGACCTTTCAACCAGGAATTAAAGAAGAAGAAAAAACTAGCTAACCTTATGGCTGTTGAGTCATGACTGGAGTCCGCCATAACTGAAGCTTATTAATGATAGGATATGTCCTATGAAGTATGAGCAGCAGCAAGAAGCATGTTAAAAGCCAGTACCACAAAAGTTGGATATAATTAGCAAGTCCTAGTAAGAAGAGAAGCCCCCTGCTATAACCTGAGACTAAAGAGATGATTCATATAAGATGGATGGAGAGAGAGTTTAAAAGTTCATTGATACTTACACCAGTACTTGCAGTAATGATACTCTACCTGATCAGTTCATTGAGAGAGAGAGAGAGAGAGAGAGAGAGAGAGAGAGAGAGGAATACTTAGCACATAAGGATGAGAAGACAATGGAATCCGAATCTAAAATTATGCAGTGATAATTGACAAGGGTCTGATTGGTGGTCAAAAAAAGTAGAAAGTTAAAGAGAGTATTTATGCACTACAAAAAAATTGGACAATAGTCACCTTTTCTTTGGTGACTATTGGTTACTATTAGTTAGGGGTGGTTGCGGTTCGGTAACCGCAAATTTTTACTCAAACCGCAAACCGACCGACTATTTGCAGTTTAGTGATTTTTGAAACCGCAAACCGACCGCGTTTTGTGGTTTACCGCATTGCTATTGTCTTCTTTTTTTGTAGTGATGGGATCAAAACATGATTTATTTATTTTAGGAGGATCATCATGAAAAGTTAAAAAACCTTGTAACAATACAAAGTTACTTTTGTGCTGCTGTGTAACCAATATTAAATCATTATTAACATATAAAGATAGATGTTTATGTATGTTGCCAAGTCTAGACAAGGTAATATTCCAGTTTTTGACATGCGGCATGAGTAATAGTTTTTTTAAAATATATTATTTTCAGGATAAGATATTTAATTACGTGGAAGAAGTACAATCTTATATACCTATAGAATGGGAAGAGCAGCACAAATGCGAGGTAGAATGCCTAAGAACTTGTTTTCCTCTTTTCGGCCGGGACGGCCGACGAAAGGAACTTTTGGTCATTCTTCTTTTTTGAGTGCGGGGCGTACAACCACCAAGCTCCAAATTTGGGCTTGAATGAAATGTGAGTAGATGGATGTGTTGCGTCCGAGATCTGACTTTAATCAAACGATTGTTCGGCCGAGCAAGGAACCTCCTCACGACCTAGGTTCTTTCACTACCTCAGGGTCAAGGCTTTATATGAGCTACCAAATGATGTGGAGTGAGTGGAGATATAGATGGAAGGTGAAACGTAATGAAACAGAGAACAAGTGCGTAAAGTAAATGTGCTTAAACTTAAATATAATTTAAAGACAAATGCGTAAAATAAAGTGTGAAAGATAAATAACGTAAAGACAAGAATTAAAGTGCGATAAAATGAATCAAAGCGATAAGTAAAGCAAGAACGAAATGAAAATGATAAGAACGATAAAGTAAAATGAACTTGAAATTAAACTCAATTGAAGTGCGATAACAATGAAACGTAAAGCAATTGAAATAAACTTGAATTTAAATGACAAGAAAATATAAATTGAACGAGAATTTAAACTTATACTAAGAAAAGGAAGAACTTGCTACACTAAGTGCATGAAAAGTAAAATCCTAAGTCTAGGAAAAGAAAAGTGCGAGACGAAAAGTAGATTTGTCTGTCTGATGTTGTGTGTCTTCTGTCTTTGTCTGGTAAGGTTTATATAGGGCTTATGTCAGCTCATGGGCTGGCCATTGAATGGCCAAATGTCAACTCTTGTAAAAATCTTTCCTTTTGAGGCCCCTTGAATCCGTTGGATTGCATTGGTTGAAATATTCTGATTACTTGATTCTCTCTTGTGATGGGTATATGTCTAGGAAATAGAAAATGTAGGGGTCTATATTGGACAAGCCCTATAATTTAATATATATATATATATATATGGTATACAGAAGTTCTACTATGTAGACATCCGGACGTTATTATCTTTTAATAATTTTCTTGGAGCCCTATAATCTATTATATTAATAATTTTCTTTTAATTAAACATTAATAACATGACAATTTATGTCATACTAGCCTCTCCGCATGCGCTTTCACGCATGCGAGAGGCTTTAAAAAAAAATTTTAATTAAATTTATTTTAGAATTATAAAAGATGATAGGTAAATAGGATCCATTATCTAATTTTTTTTATATTTTATTTTATTTTAATATGCCATATTATCCTCATTTAATTAATAATTACAATTCTTAATGTTTGCATTAACTAAGGCTATTTTCTACTATTTTGAATGTTGTACCATTCTTTACCTTTTGCTTTATATATATATATATATATATATATATATATAGATGACACATCATCTATTTTATCAATTTAGTATTCCAACTCTCTATAAATAGCCAAGTAACAATTATGTTGTTCGAATTCCATCTAATTTTTTTTGTCTAGGTGCACGCATGAGCGACACTTTTAAAATTAAAATTATAAATTAAACCCATACAGCACCAACCATCCCCGACCTTCCTCAATACCTCTCAATCCAGACTTCCCTCCCCCACCTTTTCCCTGACCACCTCCTTCCCCCAACTCTCAGGACCTTTCTAACTGGAACATCACAAGCGGAAGCTGCTACGTGCTATAATTAATCCCAACTTGCCAACGGGGTCTAAGCCAATTTAAAAGGACATTGACTTGTAGCTTAATGGTCTCATGTTCGAACCCCATGACACATGTACATTGACAGTATGTGTGATGTGTGTCAAAAAACTTCCCTTCGAGGTCCTAACTTTGGCAAAAAATAAATAAATCTAAGTTAATTTTTTATGTCTAAGTAAATCAAACTTTTGTAAGAATGAATATCACATCTTATGCGCAATTCTTTCACTCCAACCAAAAAAAAAGTTGCAAATTTTTCACTTCACGAAAGCCAAATTGTTTTGTGTACTTGAATTGTTTTTATATAAAAGCAATAATAGTAGAAGAGAGATTTGAACACATGACCTAAGGTGCAAGGTATACACTGTTAACCAATTGAATGATAAATTCCTTACTGTTTGGGGTGATTTAATGTGTGGTGGTCTTCATGAAGTGACAAAATAATATTTTAGCTGAAGTTTGTTCCAAATGTATTAGACGCAAAAAATTAATTTAGGTCTTAAATTGGGACAAATTATAATTTAGGCACTGAATTTGGACAATTCAAATTCGAGAAGGATGGATCCCCCCCCCCAAAACAAAAAAATAAATTGGATGGATGGAAAAAAAAAAATACAAACTTATTTATTCATGTGGTATAACTCACGTATTTGAATTGTATGAATCGTGGCCCAATTTGCATTCCTCCTACTTATTTTTTTTTGTGGTCGTTTGCCTTTGAAGGTAAATAATGGGGAAAAAAAGGTCCTTGATTAAAACATTGTCACTCTTAAATTTTGAATTTGAATTTTAAACATTTATGGCTAAAAAAATCATAACTCATATAGCCAAAATATATAAATAAAAAAATTGGTAACATAAGTATAATTCACATAAAATTGGTACTGCACATAAACCTTTTTAACCTATGTACAAATAGAAAAAAAGAGAAGAAACATAAACTGCTCCTACGTACAAGGTAAACAAACAAAATGTATTTTATAAATTTTTTTTAAAAAAAAGAAGAAGAAGGAGAATCACCATTGTTGAGGTCTTAGTGTTGCAGGAGAAGAAGATGTATGTGTGTGTTATAAATGGTTATTATGTCATTCATTTCAAAGCAAATAAAGAAGGTTTTGTTTTAGTAAATAATGAATAAAATGGATATTATTAGGGGTAATATGGCATTGAAAAAAGTCAAACTATGATCATTAATATGATAATTAATAAAAACTTTGATAAAAACCCCAAAAATGGGCCTTCATTGATCCTTAAAAAAACCAAGGGTTTTTCCTTATGAATGCTTGTAGTTTTGGGTTAATATCTAATTTTCCAAATGACGTGTACTTAAGGAAATTTTTGCTGAGATGCTAAAACTAAATTAAAATTAGCTGAAAAAGATAATATTGACACTTACATGAGCAACTAGGATGAAGGGAATAAAATCCAACATGGCTTTAAGCTGTCTTCCAATTTCAGTTCTTGTACCAGGAAACCGCTTGAGAAGTACGTAGATGCGGTAAATGCGTAGGGCATATTGTAACGGAGTCAACGTCGATAGGAAATAAAATACCCCAGGATTTGAAGAGTTGTCAGTAAGTAATATTACCTGGACACATTATCAGTAATTTAAGCCAACAGTTGAATCAGATTACAGATTAACAAGTACTAAACAATGAAGGGTCTTACCTGTGGAAGGGGAAGAGCAACAAACATACGAGGTAGATAGGGTAGCAGCTTGTGGATTCTTGCCTCAAATGCCTTGGCATTATTATAATTCCGCCGACGCCAGAAGATGGCAATGTCCATTGCATAAAAGAGATCTACGGCTGATCGTAAACCAAAAAATGTCCACACCATCCTGGCCTCCCCATGGAAACACGTCCTGTCCTCAATCACGACAGGAATGTACCGGTATAAAGGATCAAGGAAGACAGCAAACGTACATGATATCGCAAATACTATATCCCACTTTAGAAAGAATATTGCTGGCTGTTCCTGCTCATCATGATGTATACTAAGAATCTCCTCAAATGTTGGCCATGTTTACGTATTCAAGTAGGTTAACTTATTAAATTGGGTTATCTTTAAAATTTTTAAAAAATTCATCCTTAATTTTAGAGTAAATAATTGTTTTTTTTTTCTTTCTCGGATGGTTATGCAAATTGATTTGTTTTATTGGTTGTTATGCAAATCGCTGTCTTTTACGTTTAAATGTTTGACTTCTATGCGTTATTGAAATCATATGTCGTCACAGAGGTGGACATCGGAAACTACAAAAATATTTTAAGACATTTTTCAAATTTTTTTGGGCCTCTTGTTCTATTATCATACTCACTTTCCTAGTTTGTTCTTAGGGTCAGTTTCATCCACATCCCCTCAGGTTTCATGTAGTTGTACTCAGTCTCACACCTAGAAGTTTCGATATTGACCAGGACACCCTTCAATTTTTGGGCTGGGCCCGAAATAATTTTATTCACAACCCATCACCGGGTATATATCAAGCAGTCTTCCGGTTTGCTTAATCGCTTGTCTGAATTCAACTTTGTCATGTTAGACTGAAGAGGGTAGGCCTGGCAAATATACCAAAATCGTAGATGGTTGCATTTGGTGAAGTTATAGGGCTGTAAATATCTTTTCCTTTATATGAGAAAGGAAACTCTCACACACATTCTCAAGAGTCTCCAGTTTGCCAACTAAACAAACAGCTTTGAGGTCTTCTCCTTTGCCCAAGTCTTGTTTTATCTAATAATAAAGTTTGTCCTCACATCTCCTCGCTAACCATTACAAAAGCAAGTTTGTCCTCACTAACCATTACAAAAGCCATCTCTCAACCCACCAAAATCAAATGCGAAAAGCTATAAACAAATAGCAAGCAACTCAAACTTTGTTTTGGGGTTGCTAATAATTGACTAATAGGCCTTAATAGTATTCAAGTGCGAGTGGGAAATAATAATTAACCTCGTATGTTTGTAGCATGTAAATTGCAATGAGTAGTAATATGATGTTACAGAAATTTCTATGTCCTATCAAAGAAAACCGAACATGCAAATTTCTGTGCGACTAATCTGTATGATGAAATTGAAACTGAAGGATTAATTACATATGATCTGATTAAGTATAATGGAGCTTAGGTCATTCATGAATCATGAGAAAATGGAGCTTTGAGCATCAAGAAAGGTCAGTCATTCATGACTCATGAGAGATAAATTAATCAATTGATTACCACATTTACAACTTACGGCTTCACAGAATTACTGAAATTTTGATAACTTTGATGGAGAAAGCTGGGTGGAATTTGGATTTGGTTGTTAATTTGGTTCATTCTGATGTTGATTATGTTAAAAAAGCGCATAACCAGTATACTTTATTTTTATTTTTTTTGGGACTTAACTGATGAAATTGATGGATTCGACTTGATTTGTTAGCGACTGCAAGTATAGTGACGAAAATGGAAAAATTAAAATTTCGGTGATCAAATTTAAATTTGAACCTAACTCCAGTGACCAAAATTGTAATTACCCTTTTTCAAAAAAGAAAAAGAAAAAGAAATCAGTTGGGGTAGCTAGCTGGGAGGAAGTTGAGAGGAGAAGTGGTAAATTTGAGGTTTTTTCTTAAAGTTCTTAAAAGTCATTTTATAAAGGAGTAAATTTGTCTTTAAAATTTTGAAGATAAGATGAGTGGGGAAATAAGATAGAGGTGAAAATTACTCTATCTTTATTATTATTATTATTAAATGCAAAAACGGTGTTTGCGTAAATTAGCCAAATGAACACTCTTACAACAACTATTGCCTAGAGGTCAAAAGACAATATTTTTAACAAGCAAATTTGTCATTATTCAAAGGTGTTATTGAAAGAAAAAAAGTTGCCATTTTTTTTTTCCAGTCACAAGATCATTACTTAACAAGAAACCCAGTGGATTGTACAAAGCCAAAACAAGTACATATACAAAAAGGGCCAAGGCCGAAGAAAAGCAGTTTAAAAAAACTCAAACCAAAGCACAACTCCTAAACGACAATAAATTATTGAGTGTTACAAGGTCCAAAACAAATTCAAAGCAGTCCACACCTCGAATATGAAGGGAACGAACCAAGGACGACACATAGTAAACAATCGAAAACAACAAAGCAACATAAACACAAAAATACCCACACAAGATAAGAAAAGAAGAAAAGTAGTTGGTTTATGTGCTTATTACACTCTTTTTTTTGGATGTCGTAGTTTTGGCTAATTTAATGTAAGTTTGTCTCATCCAGTTAGGCCTTAGCCTTTGCACGACGGGGCGCCAAAATGCCTGTATGGAAGAAGCTGCAAAACGCTCCAATTGAGAACGAGGAAGCTTCCTCAGAAAATGCTCCCTTAGCCTTTGCACGACGGCGACGGCGCCAGAATGCCTGTATGGAAGAAGCTGCAAAATGCTCCAACTGAGAACGAGGAAGCTCTCTCTGAAAATGCCACCAAAATTGAGCGACAATTGACTTCAAGTGGTGGGCCTTAATTGAAAATGCTTCAACCTTTGTTTGGGACAAAAGAGTTGTAGTGGAGAAAGGTAACTCAGAAAATGAGCAAAATTTGAATGCCCAATTTAGAAGTTCTTCTCCATAAAAATCACTTTTCTCAAGGCACTTGCACACATTTGTTCCACCCTTAATAGTGTAAGTTAATGCAGTGCCTTTTGTGATGAAAAGCATCTTTCGAAGTGGTTCTCCCTCTCGAATGATATAAACATCCTTGCTATACATCACCGGCTTAAGATACTGGCATATTGCATTTAATACTTTCTCATCTGTATGTTCAAGCAACGGCACCTACCAATCTCATATAATTTATTAGTGTTGAACAAAATTTGATAGAAAGAATCAGAGCAAATTAACGCAACTACTTACTTTCTTTAGTGAAGCCAAGTTACACATATTACGCATTTGCTCTATTGTGTTTGAATATATCGTTTCAATCTTTTGTTGCAATTTAAGGTGATCTGACACTTTTTTCGACCCCTGCATATAATTATTAATTTTATAGATACACAAGAATTAATACGGAAATTTATATGGAGGAGCTTCAAATTTAAAGACGTAAATTTAGTTTAGAATATAGCTTTGTCAAAAAGAAAAAAACATCAATTTTGTTTAAAAACCAACCTGCACCCTTGAATTTAGATATACTAAAAATAGTGCCAAGCCACTTATAGAGATCACAATCGAAAAGATGATTTCGTCCTCAAAGAAACTGGTATTGAGGTTTGAACCAAAAGAACTGCAAAAAGAAAATGAAGAAGCAACATATTTGATAAGCATATATCGCAGGTTATAATGAAAATTCCGGCAAATTCCAGCTGCTACCTAGCTCATGCTTGGCTCCTTTACCTTTATTGGAGATGCAATTTGACATAAGATAATGAAATTTTCAGAGTAAAAACATGATTTATTTATTTTTGGGGGATCATCATGAAAAGTTAAAAAGCCTTATAAATATACAAACCTCAAATTTCGCAGGCCCCACCAAATACACTGCAACATCTTCACTGGAAGATCTCTTGAGCTTGTCATATTAGATTGGAAAGCGTATAGATATATACCAAAATCGAAAGGAGAACTTGTTACATTTTCTGAAGGTTGTACAGCGCACGACTCCCGTAAACTCGACATATTCTGAAATAGAAGACCTCTTGGTTTTGAAAAACTGTCGCAATAGAATAAAGGATCAAGCGTTTCACGACCACACGATTTACAATAATGCTCCTCCCAACAAACTATCTTTCGGTCCACAGCAAAATAGTACCACAAGGCTCCGAAGATCTGAAAAGGAGCGACAATCACATAGTTAATAATCAATATAATATTATGATTCTCAAGGTTTCAGCAAGTAACTAAACATAATTAACGCAAACTTCGTGGAGGTTAAAAGCAAATTCAGAACAAGTTGATTATTTTCTTCTTTAAATGTGGAAGATAAGATTAAAACTTACATGAGAAGCAAGGATGAATGGAAGGAAGTCCAGAGCAGATTTAAGAAATCTTTTTACTGCCGTCTCTATTTTAGCATGCCGATCGAGCCATTGGTAGAGATTATAAGCCCGTAAAGTATATTGGATTGGAATTAGATAAAAAAGATTACTGTATATTTTACCAAAGTATGTATGTTGTCCGGTGAGTATGATTGCCTGGACACATGTAAAGCCAACAGTTAAAATTTGATTACTGTGTAACCAATATTAAATCATTTTTAACGTATAAAGATAAATGTTTATGTATGTTGCCAAGTCTAGACTAATAGTTTTTTTTAATTATATTATTTTCGGGATAAGATATTTAATTACGTGGAAGAAGTACGATCTTATATACCTGTAGAATGGGAAGAGCAGCACAAATGCGAGGTACAATGCCTAAGAACCTAAGCGATTTCTGGCCATTCAACACCTTCCAAATTGTGGAATCAGGACCGCCAAAATACTTTGTCCAGGAGGCCCCAAATGGCTTGGCATTAACATTGCCGCGACGCTTTATGAAAACAAAAATGTCCATTCCATAAAATAGATCGCCGGCTGATCGTAAGGCGAAAAATATCCACATCAAGGTGTAGTCCCAATAGTAGCACGTGCTATCGTCGATGATTACGGGAACGTAGCAGCTCAAAGGATCAACGAACACAGCAAATGCAGATGCTACAGTAAATATGTTTTCCCACTTTGGAAGGAATTTTTTTGGCTGATCATGAAGTTGATATTTGTTAATAACAACCTTCTCCAGTTTTGATCTTTTTGCTGCAGCACTGCTTGTACTTGTGTGTCCTCCATCTTCCTTGAGCTTGGAAGATTCCCCCTCCTCATCTAGATTACTGAACAAGACACAACAAATTAACAAATATATATATATATATATATATATATAATCGCGTCCAAGAGAAAGAAAATTTTTATATATATCGGTTATATGCACTTCTAACATGTATATATAAGTGATGAATATAATATACTTAATTTTAACATTCATGTGTTCTTCATTTTTACCTTTTGGTTTGGTTAGATAGATTATATATATATATATATATATATATATATGTATATTAATTATGTGCATTACGTAAAAAAATAAAGCGCTTTTAATTGTATAAAAAAAATTAAGTGCTTTTAATATTTTGTTTCTATTATTTACCTTGAATGGAAAAATAGTTATAAAAACTAAGTAATAAATGAAAATTGGGTTTTTATTCAATAACTATAAAAGGCCCTATAATTAATCAAGCAATAAAATAGATTTTTCCTAACAACCACATATATTCCCTTCTATTGAGGGACACCCTTTAGGGTACCTTATTAAATTGTTTTCAACAATCCAAACCTTCTATTTTTCACATATTCATTCAGAGATCATCCTTACAAAAAATTATGCAAATTGAAAATCATTAAGGAATCTAATTAAGACCAAAAAAATCAATGAACACAGTGCTTTAAGAAAGTACTTGAATTTCAATAATTTAATTAAGTGGTCAAATGATATTTGATTCAAGTGATTTTTTATATATAAAAATGATCTTTGAATAAATATCTACAAGTGTACTAAAAAGTCTTTACGCAAATATATATGCATAGTGTAGTGGTATTGTGTAGTAGAAAAGTTGTTTAATTGGTCATGGTGGATTTGATTAAGCCAACTAATAAAACATGTTTAAGCCACTACAAATGCGAGATCCTATTGTTTCATAAAACATCTACTTAATGAAAAAGAAAAATCTTCTCAAAAAAAGAAAAGGAAAAGGTCTTAGAGTACATAAAGAAATTAACCTCAACTCAATTGATACTTCATCAACCGGATTGATCATGTCTCAAGCTTATTTATGACGCAAGATCCTCTTTGAAGTGTACGAATTATTCACAAAACCCAAGTAGCTCGCTTCGTTAAACCACAGCTCCAAATAATATTGAGTACGTACTCCTGCGAATAGTAGCCAAATATGCAGAAGAGTGGAAGTTAGAGAATTATCAAATTAATATCAATCTTGTCTATGTGTGAAGAGACTAAAGTCTTGGTAATATATATATATATATATATCTCACACATCCGGATGTCCGCAGTTACTGTGCAGATCGTAAACACAAAAGAAAGCATAGAGGGGTAGCATAAAATATATGGCGTCCGTACGATAATAATGTTTGGATATCCGCATGGCTTCCACGCGTTATTCCCTCAAAGATCACACATGCAAAAATTTGACTACTCAATATCGTTGTAAGTTTGTTTTCTTGAACCATTGGGGTTATTAATTTTATTGATCATGACTAGATGTCTTAATGGTTTCCTTTGTCTACTATATATTATATATAGAGAAGTTTTCCTAAAGAGAAAAGAAAAAAAGTTCTAAGAGTTAGAGAAAGAAACTAACCTTTCAATCAGGAATTAAAGGGAGAAAAAAAGCTAACCTTATGGCTGTTGAGTCCGGATTGGAGTCCTCCATAACTCAAGCTTATTGATGATATATATGAGCAGCAGCTAGGAGCTTGTTCAAAGTCAATTATGTGTGCGTGGAAAACTAAAAGTTGGATGTCATTATCAAAGTTGGAAAACTAAATATAATTTGACCCCACTCTCTCCCTCAAATGTCATGGTATTTACTAAAAAAAAAATTAAAATAAGTTTTTCATTTCTCTGTTTTGCCCCTCTAACAACCATCAAATTTCGATTCTCTTACCAAATATTAATCCAGTCCTAGTGAGAATACTTACAAATCTGAGACTGAACTTATAAAGACAAAAAAAACCTGAGACCGAAGAGATACTGACAGAGGGAGAATTTGGAGAGAACGAAATGAATTAAACAAAGTATTATCATATTCTATTATTGCACAATGAAGTTGAGTGTTATTGTCTTTGGTCAAAAAGATGAAATAATTGTGTCTTAAAAGCAGATAGGATGTCGATCTTGTTTGCATTCATGTCTTCTGATTTTTTCGAAAAGTAGCAATAAGCAGATAAGAGGCGACCTCTAAGTCTTCGTGCACAGTTGAGTCTTCGTGAGGCGACCTCTAAGTCTTCGTGCACTCACACAGTTGAGTCTTCGTGAGGCGACCTCTAAGTCTTCGTGCACAGTTGAGTCTTGGTGCTAATGGCTTAATGATTGCCCTGGTTTCAGCATTGATTAATGTCTCCAGTTGTTTTCTGGCATGTTTATGGAAACTAAAAGTAGTTAGATATATAATTCCCCAAGAACTGACCTAACTCTCTCTTCCAAATGTTTCCACGTGTATCTCTCTTTCCAAAGAATTAAAATAAGTTTTTTGCTCTGTTTTGCCCCTCTAACAACCATCAAATTTTAATCCTGTCCTACTGAGAATCCCTTACTAACCTGAGATTGAAGAGATACTGATAGAGGGAGAATTTGGACTGAACGAAATGGAGTTTTTCAAGCGTGACAACAGACAAGTCTAGAAACTTAAAGAAAGTATTTCATATTCTTGTCTTTGGCAAAAAAGAAGAAATATTCTGCTTTATAAAGTTGAGCAACTCTCTCTTAAAATTATAAGAGGATAGGAGGCGACGTCTTATAATAAGTCTCCCTTTACGACACGTGGAATGTAGCGTGGTTTCAATCTATTTTATAATACCTATGCATGCACATATCAATATGTCATTCATCTAAATTAATTATAAAACGTAAATTAAAAATATCATCTGAGAATGTAACGATGTCTCTAAAAAATTTATGCTTATACACAAAGTAAAATTACAAAGTAAAAAATTTATGCTAGCACCATTATCCTAATCTAGATCCATTGAGCTTTTAAATTACAAAGTAAAATTACAAGAGTGTTAAGAAAAGCTAAAAACAAATATTGTTAATCATAACCTAACATAATGGTTTTTCTGTATCTTGGTTTTGCAAAGTTCTTTTAGTTTATTTGATCAGCATATGTCTTATTATTTGCTTCTGAATGTATGGATTTGAACACATACTTGAATCACCTTAGTTGTTGCTTGCATTGCGAAGTCCTAGCTTGATGTATCCTTTTGAGTGTCTATAATGTCACTTTGAATGCATGCCATGTGTCTAGCCGTTCAGATGACTTTGGATGGTTGGGATTGATTCTCACATAATGTTCTCATTTTACCGTTCTCGCCTTATCTGAGCACAAGGAAGGAGCGGCCTCATGCATCCATGGGCCTGTGATAAAACTCTACTTATGGGTCCAAGCCGACGACAGCAAGTAAGTTCGTTTGTTTTTTTTTCATATTTTTTTTCTTAATATCTTCAGTTAAACTTGAACTGTTTGAAACTCAACAAGAAGATTGGCGCACACACACACACACACACACAAAGGCCATAAATTAAACACGAGAGCGAATCCACAAATTAAAAGTTCATAGTAGGTTTTGAGTAACCAAAACAAGAAAAAGAAATAGCATGAGATAATTTGTGTTTTTGACGCTGATGAAACATAAGATACTTTTTAAAGGCTTTTATTTTATCTAGTTTTCATTATTCAAAGGCTTCCATCTAGTTTTCTCTATAGACTAGTATAAATCCCAAAACAATATGGTATACGTCACAAACCAAGTAGCCCTATATGTCTCTACGCATTCTCTATAGATTTTACTAAAAAAGCAAAGATCATTGATGAACAACACACCTAGCGGCGGTCAGTAGAAACCCAAAACAAGACAAAATAATAAACATATAGGAAAAGGGTGAAGGCCAACGAAAAGTAGTTTAAAAAAAAATCGAAACAAGGCCTAACTCCAATATGGCAAGAATTGTTATGTGTTACAAGATCCAAAGCAAACTCAGAGAATTATTAGTAGGTTCATTCATGTACTTATTACTCTCTCTTTTCTTTAGATCCTGTATTTTTAGTTAATTTGTGATGACGCCAGTATTTCTGCAAGCAAGAAGCTGAGAAATGCTCCAACTGAGAACGCGGAAGTTCCTTTTGAAAACGCCACCAAAATTGAGCGACAACAGACTTCAAGTGGTTGGCCCTAATAGAAAACGCTTCAACTTTTGTTTGGGATACAACAGTCGTAGGGGAGATAGGTAACTCAGAAAATGAGCCGAATTTGAACGCCCAATTTAGAAGTTCTTCTCCATAAAAGTCACTTTTCTCAAGGCACTTGCAAACATTTGTTCCACCCTTAATGGTTGTGTAGGTCAATGCAGTGCCTTGCGTGATGAAAATCATCTTTCGAAGTGGTTCCCCCTCTCGAATGATATAAATATCCTCCCCATAAGTTACCGGCTTAAGATGCTCGCAGATTGCTTGTAACATTTTCTCATCTTTATTTTTAAGCATCGGCACCTACCATACCAATGTGTATATTTAATTAGGTAAAATTAATTAATTTGAACACAAATTAACAGAAAGAATCAGAAAAAATTAACCCAACTACTTACTTTCTTTAGTGAATCCAAGCGGAGACGGCACATAGTACGCATTTGATTTATTATCTGTGGATATATCCTTCGCATCTTCTCTCTTAAGTTGAGCTGATCTAATATTTTTTGCGACCCCTGCCCATATTTGTTTAATTATTAATTTTAAAAACAATTTCATGATGAGTTGGTTAATTAATTATATCACGAAATATACACACACAGGAATTAATTAATACGAAAATTTGTAAGTAATATATATATATTTTGTTTAAGCATGCACCAACCTGCACCCTTGCATTGAGATATACTAAAAACAGTGCCAAGCCACTGATAGATATCAGAATTGAAAAGATGATTTCGTCCATAAAGAAACTGGTCTGGAGGTTTGAACCAAAAGAACTGCAAAAATAAAATGAAAAGTTTGATAAATGTATATCGGAAGTTAGAATTAAAAGTCCATCTGCTACCTAACCTAGCTCAAAATGGGAAGGAAAAACAAAAAACAAAACAAAATTCCAATGAACAAACCTCAGATTTCGTAGGCCCCACCAAAGACATTGCAACATCTTCACTGGAAGACCTCTTGACCTTGTCATGTCAGATTGGAGAGCGTATATATATATACCAAAATCGAAAGGTAAAGTTGATACATTTTCTGAAAGTTGTACAGCGCATGACTTTTGTAAAAGGGAGCCATTGAACTTCATATTGTTTGCTGGAGTGGAACTACTGCAATAGAAGAAACAATCAAGTGTTTCTCGACCACATATACCATCAAATTTACAGACATGCTCCTGCCAACAACCTATCTTTCGACCCACAGCAAAAATGTACCACAAGGCTCCGAATAGCTAAAGGACCAACAAGCAGATAGTTATAATCAATAGTTCATCGAAAATTCAGAAAGTACCAAAATGACAATAAATAAGACTGAATCTTACATGAGCAGCAAGGATGAAGGGAAGGAAGTCCAAAACAGCTTTAAGCAATCTTCTTACTGTAGTCTCTATGTTAGAACTCCGATTGAGCCGTCGGTAGAGCCTAATAGCTCGTAGGGTATATTGGATTGGAATTAGATAAAAAAACTCATTGTTATCAACGGATGTATATTTTCCACTGAGTATTATTACCTGCACACATTTAAACCAACAGTTCAGATTTGACCGTTGTGTAACAAACATATATAATTACGTTCCAAAGGAGCTAGCTAGCTTAGCTTCTCTTAGTCGTCTTAATTAGGTACGAAATTGCTTACCTGTAGAATGGGAAGAGCAGCACAAATGCGAGGCAGAATGCGTAAAAACCTAAGTGTTTTCTTGCCATTCAACATTTTACAAATTTTTGTATGAGGACCGCCAATAATTCTTGTCCAGGAGATCCCAAATGGCTCAGCGCGACTTCGACTTAGGAAAACAAAAATGTCCGTTGCATAAAATAGATCTGCGGCTGATCGTAAGCCGAAAAATGTCCACATCAACCTTTGGTCCCAATAGTAGCACGTGCTATCATCGATGAGGACGGGAGCATAACAGATCAAGGGATCAATGAACACAGCAAATGCAGACGATATTGCGAAGGTCATATCCCATTTTGAACGGTGATGACGTCCGCGTACAACAACAGCTTCCTTCAATTCTATCCATTTCTTAGTAACACTTATACTGCGATCTACTTCTGGTTCTGTCGATTTTGCACAAGTACTTGTACTCTGTTCTAATTCTAGTTCTGGCCATTTTGCAATCTGTTCTAGTTCACTGAAGAAGACACAACAAATTAACAAATGTATATAATCGCGTCGATCAGAAATAAATGAAGTATGCACCTAAAATAGTCCTCGTACCATCGAAGTTTCCTAAAAAAAACATTAAAAGAAAAAGAAAAAGGTGTGAAGTAAAGAACTTAACCTCAACTCAATTGATACATCTTTAACCGGTTTGCTCATATCTCAAGCTTATTTGTATCCTCTCTCAAGTCTACGGGTTATTCAAAAACCCAGGTAGCTAGCTCTTGTACATACTTCTGCAAATATTAGCCAAATATGAAGTGAAAGTTAGAGAATTTTCCTGTCCAAGTGTGAAGAGACTGAGGTCCCTTCTAACTTGATAATATATATGCGTGTGTAAGAGAGAGAATTTATTCTATGGCTCAATAAAGTTGGAGTGTTCTTCAGTTAATGCATATATTATTGTCTTCAGCACTATGTTTTGTGCTTTATTAAAAGTTAAGCAGTATTGGCTAGATAGAAGAGGGGCCCCCATGGCTTCTCCCTTAATATGTTGCCCTTTGATCCTTTTGATTTGAGAGAGAATACTTGAGTGACACAGTCTTAGAGCATCTACAATCATATTCCCTATTTTTTAGTTAAAATTTAGCTAAAAAACTATACATGTATTTTAAGAGCTTCCTAAAAAAATTCCACTTCAACCATACTCATTAGTTTAGGGAATCATAAATGCTTTAATCCTTCTTAAATTCAGTTTTAGAATAAAGTGAAGAAAAACAATAATAACATAAAATCCTTAAATAAATGTTTAAAACCCTACTAAAATAAATAGTATTAGCAGCCACTAGGAGTTTTTTCTCTATCTTCAGATTTAGGAGTTTCAAGTCTCCCTATTTTCTGAGGTGGATAGGGAGCATGGTTGGAGTTGTGTTTATTCAATTCCTCCATAAAATTTGTCTAAGAAATTAATTTAGGGAGCCCATTGTAATCTTATATCATGTTAGAGCGTCTACAATCATGCTCCCTATTTTTCAGTTAAAATTTTGCTAAAAACTCACAAAATTTAGCTAGCGTAGGTAGTCATAAATACTATAATGATTATTTAATTCAATATAAATGGTCCATCTCTATTAAAAAAAAACATTAATTAAAAAGTTAAAATATTCATAAAACAAAGCATCATTAAATTTTAGAGAGCCACTAATCCTTCCTCTCTTCTTAGATTTAGGAGCTCCTAGAAAAGTGATTATAGAATAATACGGTAGTATGACCATGTGGTACATCTTGTACATATATTACAATATAAGTGAATATTTATTGATACTATGTCTCCCTATTTTAAGAGGTGGATAGGGAGCATGGTTTGAAGTTGTCGTTTTCCAATTCCTCCATAAAATTTGTCTAAGGATATTATTTTGAGAGCCCATTGCATATGCTCTTACTAATCTACTTTATAAATTATAGCATGGAATTTATTCATTAATATTATATCCTAGGTTTCATATATATAAACTACGTTTCTCATTTATATAATAATACATTAATCAGTAACACTATGTGACAGCGTAATATTAACTCTTGAAAATTTCTCTTGGTGTGCAAGTCAACACCAACATACTTTACTTGAAGCAAATCATTTCCCAAAAATATAAACAAAATCAAATGACAAGAGCAAAAAATAAAAAGATAGAATATATGTACTTCACACTATTAAACGTACTTATGATCTGATTGTGTAATGGAGCTTTAAGCATCGAGTACATCAATCAATAATATTACGTGATAGTGTAATATTAAAACTCCTGAAAATTTCTCTAGGTGCGCAAGCCAACACCAACATGCTTTACTTGAACCAAATCATTCCAAAAAAGAATATAAACAAAAAAAAAAAAAAAAAAAAAAAAAAAAAAAAAAAAAAAAGTCACACTCTTACACGTCTCTATGATCTGATTGCGTAAAATAGTGCTTTGATCATCAAGAAAGTCATTCATGAGAGATCAATTAATCAATTGATTACCAAATTTAGAACTTACGGCTTGAATTGTCTCTTTATTGTTCCTTCATATTTCTGCCTCAAATTTCTACATTTTCTCGTTAGGTGTTCAAGATCAAACTCGACCATATATCATTGGGGAGGCAAAAATAAATTAAAGATGTATGAAAGAAAAGAATGTTGCATTATTGCTGGCTAATTTTCACAGGAGAGTGTGAAATTGGTATTTAGGAGAAGGGGGTAAATTAAAATTCCAGTGGATAGGTCTATAACAACAATGAATAATTGTTCCTAGTAACAAATGACTAGTCAATTGCTAGTCATAGACCTATGAACAAACAAGCACATCACAAACTCGCCACAAATCAAATATTAGAACCTGCAAGCCTAAAAGAGAACTATATTTGACAACCTAGATACTCATAAGGACCCGTCAATCTAGGCATTCCCTATGCTAGTAACAAAGGTTTAGGGTTTAGGTATGTGGACATTCATCATAGCATAACAAAGATGTCACATCTCGGAATCGGCTCCGCCGTAGCATGATATTGTCTGCTTTGAGCCCCCCTCTCTGCCCTTACAGTTTTGTTTATGGGAACTCACAAGCAACTTCTCAATGAGTCACCCATCCTAGGATTACTCTAACCCCAACTCGCATAACTTCGAAGTTCCCATGACTCTAAAGTCAGTAAGCTCCCAAAAGGCATCGTGCTAGATGGAGGCGGGCATGTACATCACCCCCTCTCCGTTAGTCGATGTGGGATGTTACAATTCACCCCCCTTAGGGGCTCGACGTCCTTGTCGGCACACTCTCACCGCACGGCAGAGTGGCTTTGATATCAAATTGTCACATTCCGGAATCGGCTCCGTCGTAGCATGATATTGTCCGCTTTGGGCCCCCCTATCTGCCCTCACGGTTTTATTTCTGGGAATTCACAAGAAACTTTCCACTGGGTCACCCATCCTGGGATTGCTCTAGCCCCAACTTGCTTAACTTCAGAGTTTCTATGACTCTGAAGCCAGTGAGCTCCCAAAAAGCCTCGTGCTAGATGGAGGCGGGCATGTACATATAAAGCACATCACCCCATCTCCGTTGGTCGATGTGAGATGTTACAAAAGATAATAAATACAGTATGACTAGTCATAAAATCAATAACAATACCCCAGAAATGTTCACCCATAAACCCACCACTGAAAAAAACTGGGGATCCTCACTTCGACCAGGCAATCCATGTAAGTGTATGCATTTTGGAATTTTCTTTTGCTTCCCTTGACAATTTTGTAATAGGACAATCATTGTAATTTCCCAAACTCTAAGTTTAGATTAAGAATTACTCCTCTAGGTGTTCTTATCTGGCTACATTCTGATGGACAACAATGTGTTTGACAAAGGTAAATTCTGCATAGCACTACATTGCATTCACTAAATTTCTGAAGATTATGACTAGTCATGCTTCTTTTGTATAACTAGTCGTCCTTCCTTCGTATGACTAGTCATCTTTCCTTCGTATGACTAGTCAACTTTTGCATCAGTAGGATTTCCAGCTCACTATTTCCAATTGGATCCTATCCATATTTTTTGTCCTATTCTATGAATTTCTCAGTTGCCATTGTCTATTTTGACCTAGGAATTTTTGGGTAAAAGCCAAAGAATTCCTCATTTGGCAGTCGTCACGTTTGAGGGGAAGTTTTGAAAAAGTTTCTTCCATCCTTTTGCTTTTTCTTCCTGAAGAGAAAACCACCATTTCATCTATGAGTTTTCTAAATTGATTTTCAAAAACTGCTTTTGAAATATGAAATCTGCATCTAGCTAGAACAAACAGATTCTCATAGATATATCTAGGTCAGATTCAAGATTGGTTTCTTTAAGAGTATGGTTTCTTAAGCTTGGTTGTGTTTCCTTTGTAAGAATCTTTTTCTACTTAGTGGAGTGCCTGGTCGGTTGGAGACTCCCAGTTTTTCCCAATGGTGGGTTTCTAGGTGAACAAATTATGTTTTGCATATCTGTAGTTTTTCTAGGTTTGTGTTCTTGGTGGTTGACTAGTCATCTTTATTTGCTGTTTGGTGTTTACTTGATAATGATAATTTCACACACTTTCACCATAGTTGTTGCTAGCACAGGGGATGCCTAGATTGACGGGTCCTTCTGAGTGCCTAGATTGTCACTAGTAATCTTCTAGAGTTGCAGGTACTTTGTGGCATGCTCTGTGTGTTCTCTTAATTGTAGTTGTTCATGACTAGCAGTTGACTAGTCATATGTGTATTTGGTCAATGTCTAAAGTGTGTGAAGATTGTTGTGTTGTTGTGTCTTGTTTGTGTCATTAAATTTACCCCTCGTCACCTAAGTACCAATTTCATATTTGCATTGCTGATTCCCCAAATCCATCTTAGTTGTGGTGTTTATGTTTACGTGGGTTTTAGTTTTAAGGGTATTTAAGTCTTTTTAGATGTGTTTTAGGTAATTTTTTTTAAAGTTTTTATAAAAACTAACATTTATGAAAGTATAAGATAAATTTTTGCTACTTTTGATAAAAATACGATTTTGTTTTTCTTATATTTATATAGTGAGTGAGAAGATAAAGTCAATAAAAAAATAAAACACGGGTGAAAATAACAGCACATAAAAATTATTGTTTTTAGCAAAAAGATGAAATAATTTTGCTTCCACTACATATGCTTTATGCTTGATTAATTAGTCAGTCTTCGCGTTGGGGCATAGTTGAGACCTGACTTATGGATTGTACTTTTTATGATTGCCCGGTCTGAACTTTGAACAATGATTGATGTCTCCTATTGTTTTCTGGCATCTTAAAAGCTAATTAGAGTTAAATATGTTTGTGGGAAAACTAACATTTGGATATAATTCTCCAAAATTGACCCCACTCTCTCCCTCAAGTGTGTTTCCACGTGTGTCTCTCTTTCCAAAAAATTAAAATAAGTCTTTTTTTGTTCTTCTCTGTTTTGCCCCTCTAACAACCATCAAATTTTAGTGAGAATCCTTACTAACCTGAGAATGAAGAGATACGAGTAGAGGGAGAATTTGGACAGAACGAAATGGAGTTTTTCAAGCGTGACAATAGACAAGTCTAAAAAACTAAAAGAAAGTATTTCATATTCTATGTTTCATCTTCAACAATATAGCGAAGCGAATCGGAGCTTGGTAATTCATTTATGCCTTTGAAACCAGAAAAAAAAAAAAAAAGAAAACAAAAGAATCAAATATGCAGAATTTAAAATTTAATAATATTCATGTTACACAACTAGAACACACTTAGCAATATATACATACATGAAATATAAATAATATACATATTACTTTATATCATAATTTCCCCGAACCAGCCCCAACCTCATATCCAAAAAATTTCCCCAAAGCTATTCCCAAACATAATTTTATTCTTCACACGACCCCTTAGCATCAGAAAATTACCATCCCTATACAATAAACCTCATCCATCACATTACTATGAAGAAAAATAAAATAAGGAAGACCAAATCCAAAATACCAAATTTAGAAAGCAATGAAAGCTGCAAGAACCGAAAGCAAAACAGAGGACAAAACCACGTTTCCTCCACTCCCAATCCTCAAAGCCCCTCCTGCACTACTACCACCACCACCACCACCACCACTACCACCACTACCACCACCACCACCACTACCACCACCACCACCACTACCACCACCACCATGGTAAAAGCCACCACCACCACGGCCACTAGCGGGAGTGCCCTTATTTGGACTACCGCAGTTGCCAGGATTATAGGGATTATTAATGCTAGTGCCAGGTTTATAGGGATTAATGCTAGTGCACGTAGTGGTCTCAGCTACCAAGGCCAAGGTCTGAAAGGACTCCAGGTTGGGGCCGACGATGTCATGTTTGTCGGGGAAACCAGAGGTTTGGTTGACCCTGGGGCCCACCTGCCAGACTTGGTTCACAGACTTCTCGTTTTTGGGAACCTTAACGGCGGCGAAGATCTTGAACGTTCCGTCGGAGAACTCGGAGCTGATGTCCCAGATATCAAACGAGAGTTTTCCCGGTACCACGGAGGTGTATGAGCTGATGTTGAAGGTTTTGACGGTTGGGATCCCACTATCTGTGTTGTAGGCCAAGAGTATCTGTGCCCCAGCCATCTTGGTGGAGGTGGGGTTGATGCCCCACGCTACCCAGCCGTCAGATTGGGGGGGTATAGAGACGAAGGCGATGGACAGAGAGGAGTTGGAGGTATCGTAGGTCCAGTGGAGGTAGGAGCTGAGGACGGGGAGGTCGGTGCAGTTGGAGTAGAGCTTGTTGTTATTGAATGCCTGTGAGGTGCAGGTGGCTGCTTGTGCGGGTGAGACTAGCAGAGCCAGGAAGGAAGAGAACCATGAAACTGACACAAGAAGAAGAAGAGAGGAAGCCATTGGAGAGAGAGAGAGAGTTTGGACTTGGACAAAGCGAAGAAAAGATAACTGTCTTTAGCAAAAGCTGAAGAGAAGATAAATGTCTGAAATTAATTATGGCCCAATGAAGTCGGAGTGTAGCCAAAAGAGTTACAGAGCTTGTTGTGTATATCAAATTTTAATCTAGCTAGTCCTAGTGAGAAGCCCTCTGCTAACCTGAGCCTCAAGAGAGAGAGAGGCCCTCTGTTAAAAAAAAAATGTACATTCCAAATTACCAGTACTTACACCTGATCAAATTTCTATGGTTCGTTTAAATTGGGAAGTAGCTTAATTTATACATAGAGAGAGAGAGCGTGTGTGTGTATGTGTGTTTTTTTGGCAAAAAATCAAAAGGAAGATAAATGTCTGAATTTATATTTCAAGTATGGCCCAATAAAGTTGGAGTGTTGTCAAAAGAAATATTGTTAATAAAAAGATGAAATAATTGTGGCCCAATAATGCGGGCACCATGCTTTCTGTTTTATTAAATCAGTCTTGGTGCACAGTTGTGGCCAAAAAGATGAAATAATTTATACAGAGAGACACAGAGAGAGTGTGTGCGCGCGTCTTTTGGAAAAAAACAAATGTGTGAATTTATATTTCAAGTATTGCCCAATAAGTTGGAGTATTGTCAAAATAATTATTGTTAATAAAAAGATGAAATAATTTTGCTTCCATTGTGCCTTATGCTTTATTAAGTCGGTCTTGGTGCACAGTTGAGGCTTAATTATAAAGCGTAAATTAATAATATCATCTAACAATGTAACAATCTTATTAAAAAATTTATGCTTATGCGCAAAGTAAAATTACAAAGTAAAAAATTTATGCTAGCACCATTATCCTAATCTAGATCCATTGAGCTTTTAAATTACAAAGTAAAATTACAAGTGTGTCAAATATGATTAATCATAACCTAACAGAATGGTTGTTCTGTATCTTTGTTTTGCAAAGTTCCTTTAGTTTTTATTTCATCAGCGCATGTCTTATTATTTGCTTCTGAATGTATGGATTTGAGCACACCCTTGAATCAACTTAGTTGTTGCTAGCAATACGGAGTCCTAGCTTGACGGATCCTTCTTAGTGCCTAAGATGTCACTTTGAATGCATATGCCATGGTGATTCTACTGCTTACTCCATTGGCTATTTGATATGAGGGTGACATTTTAGTTAGATTTCTCTTTTTTCAAAAATGTGTCATTGGCATATAAATAAGAACACATCCCACTAAATAAAAGGATTTAACTTAACAAACTCTATTAAACAAGTAACTAAAATCAAAAAAGATTTTGGACAGACCGAAGAAAGGATAAATGTCTTTAGCAAAAGCTGAAGAGAAGATAAATGTCTGAATTCAATTATGGCCCACAGAAGTTGGAGTGTTGCCAAAAGAATTAGAGTGCTGTTTATTATTTCCATTCTTTTAATTTCTTGCCCATTTAACTTGCATTCATGTTATTATAGTCTTGATTGGTTCTTAGTTTGAATTCAATCAAGGGTATTTTAGAAATAATGATGTAGCGATGTTATTATAACTTGCATTCATGTTATTATAAAACTCAAATTAATAATATCGTCTGACAAATGTAGCGATGTCTCTTAAAAATTTATGCTTATACACACATAAATATGGTAGTTTTGAACAAGAAAAAAAATAATCAGGTAGTTTTGACTAATTTATTGTAAATCTGTTCCATCTCCAATACAAGAAGACATCTTTGACGGTTGACATTGTGCGCTGAGCTTTTTCAGATCAGCTTTAAGGCCCCAGATCTTGTCATAAGCAACGGACCCGTGCTTTTAGATGAGTTTGGTTGCCAATGGGAAGGCAAGATCCGCCATGGTTTTGTTGAGAGGGAGAATACAATACAAGGGAACTGGGCTCTATTGGCTCTTAATAAGATTATGATGAAGATGATTGTATAACAGGCACTACAAAAAAAAGGGTCATTACCGACCAACATTCTCCGAGGGCCCCGAAATTTCCTCGGTAAAAGTGTTTTTTCCGACCAAAAAATACTGTCCGTTGGAAATATGTCACGAGCCTGAAATTTATTTCCGACAAAGGAAATACCCTCGGAAAAAGTCTCAATTGTCGTCGAAAATGTAATTTATTTGGTGGGAAGACTTGGCGCCAACTTTATTAACGACCAAAAGTACGTTTGACGGAAATAGGATGATTATTTCCAAGGGCTTTCTCTTTCCGTCAGAACTGTTTGACTATTTCCGAGGGGCTTCTTATTCCGTCGAAATTGCTTGAACATTTCCGAGGGGTTCTCCTTTCGTCTGAATTGTTTGACTACTTTCGAGGAGAAATATGTCCTCTTGGAAAAACGTTTGAATGTCAATTTTGCCATTTAGAATAAATTAAAAAAAATTTGATTGATAATATTGTTAGCTAGGGAAGAAAACAGATTTTTTTCAAGAGAATTTGGTTATCATGTAGACCCAACAAACCCGATGCCAATATATATGGTAGTTGGTGGGGTTGTGTTCCATGGGGGGTTGGTACAGTTTCATTCGCAAGTCTCTACACAAAACAAAACAAAACAAAGGCATTATCTGCATATGAAATGAAACCCAAATTAAAAATCAAAATGATATGAAAATTATAATTTGATGCACAAACCAAAGCTCTCTGTAGTGATATGCAGTTCTTATTTGAACCTATCAACTTTTTGGCCCCTCCCCCACAAAAAAGAAGAGCCTCGCTAGCTGTGAATTTCCCATTAGAATAAGTATATAAAAAAATTGATTGATAATAACCAATCACACTCCAAAATAAATAACTAAAAATAGCCAATCCAAAAAAAATAAGCAATCACAATTACATGACAACTCATCCCATAGTTGTAAGTTGAACACATCGATCCCTTCTTCAATCAATTTCATTGTCTTCAACACCATTTTGGATGGCATGCATGCTTTGAATTTGAGTCTCTGCTTCTTGGTATGGCTCAATCTCATCATTAGTCGTCTCATAAGCATTTCTTGGATTTGTTTCCACGACAAAACTCCAAATTTTATTTTTAACCCCCTTCACATAAAAAACTTGGGTTGCTTGGCTTGCTAGTACAAATGGCTCTTGAGTATTTAGCTTGCGTGTTGTATTAACAGTGATTATTCCATAACGATCTATCTTGTAACCTGTTCCTTTTCGTGCCATGTCATACCAATCACAATTGAACAATACAACTCTATTTCCTTCTATGTAACGGAGTTCAACAATATCTACTAAGGTTCCATACCAAGGCACATCGTCAATCTGATTCTCCCCCTTAACCATAACTCCACTATTTTGTGTTTTTTTATTCTCATCACGCTGCAATGTATGAAATCTAAAACCACTAATATAATAACCAGGATAATAAGTTACTCGCCTTTCAGGACCTCGAGCCAAAGAAAGCATTTGCTTACTAACTTTACCATCGTTGTATAGCAAATTGTCCTGCAGAAAGAGTCTTAGATTTTCAAAGCAATAAATAAAATCACTGTCAGAGATCATAGTTTTGTACCAAGCTTTTCCTGCGGCCTTGATAGTAGAAGCCTCCTCCTGTATAAAAAGAAATTCAACACTTTAGCACTGGTGCACACGTCTTAGACTTCTTATAACACAATTACATGAACATTAATGAGAGTTATTCTCTGAAGGGTTGATGCTGCTGATACCAAATTCTTAGTCACAGAAGTGCAAATAGAATAGTTCAGCTGTAAATTGAAGAAAAGAAGAAATAAAAGGTCTCCTAAGTGTGTTGAAATGGGTTGAGCTATTGTAGGTTGTCCTCAAATATGATAAACAGCTTTATCAGTTAAATAGTTGTTTCACCTAGAAATGCTTAAAGTACTCCAAAAAATCATAAATACCTTATAACCACCAAAATATCATGGATGGATACAAAACAGTGCAATACTATGTGCTGATGGAGAAAATGCAGTTGGATATTACTTGTCAGAAAGTCACTAAGCAGTAGGATATTTAGCTAAAAAGTTTGGAATTCAATGGTATCCTAGCAAAAATGCAGATCACATGGACAGCCTCATAATAGACTTATCACAGCCGCAAGGGACTAATTAATGGTTCTGGGTTGTGAAGAACAACAATGTGTTTGACAAAGGTAAATTTTGCATAGCACTACATTGCATTCACTAAATTTCTGAAGATTATGACTAGTCATGCTTCTTTCGTATAACTAGTCGTCCTTCCTTCGTATGACTAGTTGGCCTTCCTTCGTATGACTAGTCGTCCTTCCCTCGTATGACTAGTCGTCTTTCCTTCGTATGACTAGTCGTCTTTCCTTTGTATGACTAGTCGTTCTTCCTTTGTATGACTAGTCGTCCTTCCTTCGTACAATTAGTCAACTTTTGCATCAGTAGGATTTCCAACTGGATCCTATCCATCTTTTTTGTCCTATACTATGAATTTCTCAGTTGCCATTGTCTATTTTGACCTAGGAATTTTTGGGTAAAAGCCAAAGAATTCCTCATTTGGCAGTCGTCACGTTTGAGGGGAAGTTTTGAAAAGGTTTCTTCCATCCTTTTGCTTTTTCTTCCTCAAGAGAAAACCACTATTTCATCTATGAGTTTTCTAAATTGATTTTCGAAAACTGCTTTTGAAATATGAAATCTGCATCTAGTTAGAACAAACACATTCTTATAGATATATCTAGGTCAGATTCAAGATTGGTTTCTTCAAGAGTATGGTTTCTTGAAGAAATTGGTCATTACTCCTTGAATCCAAATTTTGGTTTCTATTCAAGTTAGAGCTAACTAGCTAGTGTCGTGGGATGAAAGAGCTGAAGAAAGAGCTATCATTGCCATGAAAGACTAAGCTGTTGGTTTTGCTAAGTTTGAGAAGAAGATTGCACAAGGGAGGTATAACTTATCTTCCTAAATAGATATGAGATTTCTTGAGCTTGCTTGTATTCCTTTGTAAGAATCTTCTTTGCTTAGTGGATTGCCTGGTCAGTTGATGACCCCCAGTTTTTCCTAGAGGTGGGTTTCTGGGTGAACAATGTCTGGTTTGCAGCTTTATTATTTTCTAGGTTTGTGTTCATGATAGTTGACTAGTCATCGCATAATGTTCATACATTTCAGGGTTTGTGTTCTTGCGGTTGACTAGTCATCACTATTTGTCGTGTACTGTTTATTTGATTATGATGTGTTCTTGATAGTTGACTAGTCATCGCATGATATTCATGCATTTCTGGGTTTGTGTTCTTGCGGTTGACTAGTCATCATTATCTATTGTGTGCTATTTATTTGATTATGATATTTTCACACACTTTCACCATAGTTGTTGCTAGCACAAGGGATGTCTGGATTGACGGGTCCTTCTGAGTGCCTAGTTTGTCACTAGTAATCTTCTAGGCTTGCAGGTACAGATTGTTATGCCCTGTGTGTGTGTTCTTCGTTATGGTTTCTCATGACTAGCAGTTGACTATTCATAAGAGTATTTTGTCAAGGTCTAAAGTGTGTGACGTTTATTATATCTTGTTTGAATATAATTTAAATTTACTCCTCGCCATCTAAGTACCAATTTCAATCCACATCAACATCTTTGTTTTCTTCAAGTCTTTGTCCTACGCTTTCCATCACCACTAATTTCATATCCTTGGGGAGTGAGTTTTTGGATAACCACAAATCTATCTCCGGATTTATCATTTGCATCTTGCTTTTGAATTGAAGCTTCTTCGATATTCTTTTCGCCAGCTGCATATATGTCTGTTCCATAACCATAACGAGTAGGTTTGCAGGTTCATGTTGTCCATGAGTATTGAGGTTGATCTTACTTTTGAAGAATGTAGACATTTAGTCCCAATGAGCTTGTTAAAATACCAGCACCAAAAAATAATATTGACTCCTGCAAATAGTAAAATATATATATATATATATATATATATTTGTGTGTTTAAGATGGAGAGAATTAAATAGAGATAATTTAAACGGGCATTGAAACTTCCACCTGTACTGGCAATATAGTGATATACCTGATCAATGTTCACAAGTATAGCTTAATTTATACAGATACATGGTGGGGAGAGAGAGAGAGAGAGAGATAGAGAGGAATAATTAGCACATAAGGATGAGAACAGAAATGGAATCCGAATCTAAATCTATGCATGTGATAATTGACAAGGGTCTGATTGGTGGTCAAAAAAGTAGAAAATTAAAGAGAGTATTTAGTGATATGTTCTATATCGTTTGAGTGTTCCACAAGCTAAGAATATATACTCTTTAGCAAAAACATGAAGTTATAAAGTAAATTAAACTCTTCAAATTAAAGTTTGTTGACCTGTGTTGCAATTTGAAAATGTTTATTTGCTACTTGAATAATATTTGCTCCAACAGACTCTTCAATTCAATTAATGCAATATCATGAAAAATAATGAAAACATGTGAAAAATGTCTATATATTTATTATCTGAAAAGCAAAAATGCATGTTTTAAACATTTTCAAGGTAGATTTTATTTTTTCACGATAAAATTAAATGATTTGAAGAGCCAAAGTCAACTTACCAATCTTGAATAGAAAGAAAAATGTTGCAGCTTTGATGACTAAGTTTCACAAGGTTGTTGAAGAGATTTTTTTTATGATTTGGCTCACCTATTTGAGCATCCCAAAGTAGTTGAAGAGACAATTGGAGATGCTCTAATATTTTTTATTACTATGTTTTCCGCTTTATTAAAGTTGCGCAACTTTTTCTGCTTTAGAGTATCTCTAACAGCCTCTTCAACATCTTTGAATTCTAAAATAGGTGAGCCACATAAAAAAAGACTCTCTGCAACAACCTCTGCAACCTTAGTCATCAAAGCCTCAACCTTTTTCTCTATCTTCAAAACTTGTAAAGTTGACTTTGGCTCTTCAAATATTTAATTTTACTTCAAAAAAACAAAACCTACTTTGAAAATGTTAAAAATATGCATTTTTTTTCTTTTCATATAATAAATACATAAATATTTTTCACATGTTTTCATATTTTTCATTCCTTTTCATGATATTGCATTATTGAATAGAAGAGTCTATTGGAGCAAAAATTATTCAAGTAGCAAATAAGTCTTTTCAAATTGCCACATATGTCAACAAACTTCAATATAAGGAGTTTAATTTGCTACTAATCTTGGAGATGCTCGGATAGGATGTTGCTCTTTGTACGGACGATGTAGTACGGGTAGTGTACTGGTTACAAGAGAGGCCTCCATGGCTTTTCCCATTAATTTGTTGCATTCATCTACACCACCCTTTTCTGAGTTGGGGCCCGTGTGCTCTTAGCTCATCCCATTCATTTCAAGGAAAGAAATTGCACCGACATTATATTCCGAACTTGACCATAAAAAATTTATCCACGTTCACAAGCCCACATCAACACATTTAACTTTTTGAAGCAAATGATTTCCAAAGAAATGCAAGTAAAATCACATACCAAAAGCAAAATTAAAAGTAGAATATACATTCTTATGTCGATCATCCATGAACTTACTTTCTGTGACTGGTCATAATGAAATTCATGGCATGAGATCATTTGTGTTTTTGACGTTGATACAACATAAGATACTTTTTAGGCTAATATTTGTTTTCCCAGGTACGCCCATAGCTCGGCCTTGCATGCGGCGGCGCCATTTTGCTTGTATGGAAGAAGCTGCCAAACTTTGCCACCTCTCCAACTGAGAGTCCTCTATGTGATCAAGCCTCTTGCTAAAATGCCACCAAAATTTGGAGACAACAATGTTCAAGCTGTTGGCTTTGATGGCAAATGCTTCAACTTTCGTATGAGCCTTGACAATTCTGGTTGAGGTGGGAAATTCAGAAAAAGAGTTCAATTTTGATGCCCAATTTAGAAGTTCTTCTCCATAGAAATCACCTTTCACAAGACACTTTATTGCTGAGGAACCAGTTGCACTGGTTGGGTATGACCATGCGGTGCCTTGGGTGATGAAGAGCATCTTATCAAGTGGTTCTCCCTCTCGAACAATATAGTTGTCTTCACTAACTTAAGATGCTCACATATTTCTTTCAACACATGTTTATTCATATTTTCCAGCATTGGCACCTACGAAGATTAATATTATTAAAGAAAAACAAAGAGAATAAATTAATCTAGCAAGGAAACATATATAAATTTATAGCTAGCTACGAATACGGATTTATGTGATGAAAAATCCCATAAACATGTACATACTTTTTTCTTGACTTAAAATCCTTGTAATATATATCCATAATTTATAATTAAGTACTTACTCTTTTAAGTAAATTCCAGCTGAGAAGGCACATGATAAATCTTTGGTGTATAATGGGAAGAAGAGAGAGAATATTCTCCATATCAACTTCTTTGTTTTCTTCAAGTTTTTGGTGTACGTTTTTCATGATGACCATCCTCAAATTCGAATTAGAAAGGTCATTTCTAGACAACCATAAGTCTATATCTGGATCCATCATCTGCTTCTTTCGAATCAATTTATGCTGACCTGATCTTTGTTGTGACATCTGCATGCAGTTATTTCCATAGAAACATTACAAAAAGACAAAACCACACACACACACACATATGTATTTTTAAACATATGATTACGAACGAACCTGCACCCTCGTATTGAGATATATTAAGAATAGGACTATGCCACTTATAGATACCAAAACCGTAAAACAGATTTCCACCATATAGATACTGGTCGGGAGGTTTGAACCAATAGAACTGCAAAAATGAAAGCGTTACTTAAATCCCCATCGATTCTTACATAGATGAATACCACCAAACTAAACACCAAGCAGTTTCATGATATCTAGGTTTATACCAACCTCAGATTTCGTAACCCCCCACCAAAAACATTGAAACAACTTTGGTGGAAGATCCGTTGACCTTGTCATGTTAGACTGAATACCGTAGAGAAATATACCAAAATCGAAGATGGTTGGATCTGGTGGATTTAAAGGGCATGATGCGATTATATGCGTGGTATTGAGATTCGTGGCGTTGTCAACGGCGGTACCACAGTAGAAATAATAACCTGTTCCAGAAATATCACATCCCACCCTTTTATCTCGACAGGCAAGCGTCCAACAATCCAGCTCTCGTTGAAGAGAAAGATTGTACCACAAGGCTCCGAATAGCTGAAGGAAGGAGAATTAACGACCAACAATTTAAAGTAGAGTACTCAATTCGGACACATTTGCAAACTTCATATACCAACGCTGATACTTTAAACGGAAACTACTATAATTCATCCCAATTATAAGTACCTAAATTTATATCTAATAAAATCGGGCCCAACCCAAACTGTGGAACCTGAAAATCAAACCGGTCTTAGACAGGTCTGGTTTGGAACGTTCCATATTTTGCAGTTTTTACTAAGAACCGTATTGAACTGCATTGGATGAATAGTTCAGTTTTGATTCTAGGTGAAAATGGGACCAAATTGGACCGCATGCACCCTTAAATTTTGGTACTAAATTTATAGACTAGCCAAAAAGGGGTACTAACTGGAAAAAAAAACACATGAAAAAATTAAAAGTTATATATCCATCAAAACATTGATAATGGACGTGGACGTGTACTTAACAAAATATTTGTGAAGGACATTATTTTTTGTCTTATATATATGTGAGAGATAAGATTGGCACTCACATGAGCAGCAAGCACGAAGGGAAGAAAATCCAATATTGCTTTAAGCCATCTTCCTATTCCAGTTTCCATGTCAGGACACCGCTTGAGAAGTCCGTACGTGCGATAAACCCGTAGTATATATTGGGCCGGAATGAAGAACATTAGAAGAAAAAAACTATTAAAGCTTGAATATCGTCCAGCAATAATTATTACCTGCACACATTAATTATACAATGATTTATATATATGTGTATATATACACACACACATGAAAAGCATCTTCTCTTACCTGCGGAAAGGGAAGAGCAACATACGCACGAGTTAGAAAGGGTAACAGCTTAAGGATGGTTCCCTTAACTGTTGTTTCCCTTTTTTCTGAGGAGGCCCGAAATGCCTTACCATTATTACCATTCCGCTGACGCCAGAAGATGACAAAGTCCATTGCATAAAAGAGATCTAGGGCTGATCGTAAAACAAAAAATTCCCACATCAAGCTTTCGTCCCAATAGTAGCACATGTCATCCCCCTCCTTCATGACAGGAATGTAAGGGTACACAGGATCAAGGAAGACAGCAAGTGCACATGATACCGCAAATACTGTCTCCCACTTTGGAAGGAATAATATTGCCAGCTCTGTTGTTAGCCGTTTTGATCTTCCCTTTTTGGCTGCTCCACCTTCATTACCAGATTCCCCCTCTACATTCCGATCTTCAATACTAAACAAGACACACAAATAAGCATATATTCAAGTCCTATTGTTTGATACAACAATAACATTTTGTTTGAAAGGTAAGAAACGAGACACAAATTAGCAACTTTTCCTTCTTATATTTCCTTGTTGTTGCATGCTCGTGCTCTAAATATCTTAAATTATATTTTTACCACATTTTAAACACTAATATATGGGAGCATTTTTACTTACCACTTTAACTAATGCATAACATCACCACCAGTCTCAAAACCTTCTATAGGCAGGGACACATAGCCACTAAGGGAGCAAATTATTTGAGGGATCTCAATGGAAGGGGATTGCATATGTATATTAATAAATTTTTATGATACTTTTAATATATTTCAAGAATCTCATTTTCACACCTACATTTTGAAGGAAGTTGATGTTCCACCCAAAAACCAATTGGCAATAGGGAAATAACGAACTTTTTATAAGCCCTTACTAGGTTTCTCAACTTTTCAATTATAAGCCCTTAAAATGTAAGTCTTTTTCACCTATTTCTCTCTTTCTTTTTTTTCATGGACACAACATACTTTCCTCCTTGCCTTTACAATCATGTTTATGACTTTTGTTAATTCTCCATATAATATAATATCAATTTTCTATTAAGTGTACTCACTTAATTAAGGTTTGTTAAATTTTCTATTATTTTTAAATTTTTCTCTCCACCTATGGCTTGTTTGGGTTTGTGACATTTTGATTTATTCTCACAAAAAATATTTACAACTTTTTTCCTTTTGTAATCTACACAAATTGACAGGCGACATTATATCTTCGATCGTGCTCAAAATATATATTCTAAGGATATCATTATTATATTTATGATGTCTTGGTCCTCGTGGTTACTTTGGCATGTATTGTGAGCAATTTTTTTGTGAGAGACCCCCTCATACATAAAATCCTTTGACTCCACCACTATCAATATGTATAACCATATATTTAATTCTCTCTTTTTTTAAAACTAAATAAATAAATGATATATGAAAAGAAAACCATCTCAAACTCCGTCACTCCTTTGCCAGCCCCCGATCTTCAAATCCCTGCCAAACACCCTCTATTCCGCTCCTTGCCCATCGATTCCCTCTTTCTTCGAACTACCCCAAGCCACAGCCATCCAAACAAGATCCCCTGTTAGTGGCTGGGAATTTGAGACCCTTTTTTTATTGAATTATTTACACTAACACCCCCATGAGGTTTTCGGTGTTCTCACAAAATCCCTTGAGGTTTCAAAAACGACATGAACACCAACTGAGGTTTCAAATTGTTTTTACAAAATCCCCTTTTCTTGATTGTTCATCCAAAAACTAATGATTTCATTTAAAAACAATTATGCAAATGATAAAATCAACTGCAATTTTGTGCAATATGACTGCAAAGGCCAATTTTATCCTTTGGAGAAATTTTTTATATATAAAATCTTCAATTTTGGAAAATAATCAAAAGAAATGGGTTCTGTAAAAACAATTTAAAATCTTAGGGGATATTCGTGTAATTTCTGAAATCTCATGGGGTTTTGTGAAAAACCCCAAAAGGATTGTTAGTCTATTTTCTTTGTCTAAGTTTTTTTCACTCTCTATAATTTAATTATTTAATTTTAAAAAAATAAAAGAGTTATAAATATAAAAATGTTTCAAGTTTTGAGAATGAAGATGAGAGTAGATATCAGGTTAAAGTGGTGATTACTAATACATGCAACAACATCTTTTTGTCTACTATATATTTCCCTAAAAAGAAAAAACGGAAAAAGTGTTCTGAGAGTAGAGAAAGAAACTCTGACCTTTCAATCAGGAATCAAAGGGGAGAAAAATGGCTAACCTTATGGCTGTCGAGTTTCGATGATTGGAGTTCGCCATAACTCAAGCTTATTAATTGATTGGATGTCCTATGAACAATGAGCAGCAGCAAGAAGCATGTTAAAAGCCAGTACCACAAAAGTTGTATATAATTATCAAATTTTAATCTAGCTAGTCCTAGCGGGAAGCCCCCTTCTAACCTGAGACTCAAGAGATGATTCATATAAGATGGAGAGAGAGTTTAAAAAAAGTACATTCCAGATTACCACTACTTACACCTGATCAAATTTATACAGCCAAAGAGAGAGAGAGAGAGTGCGTCTTTTGGAAAACAAAAAAACAAAAAACAAAAGGGAAGATAAATGTCTGAATTATTGTTGTATGGCCCAATAAGGTAGGAGTGTTGTCAAAAGAATTATTGTTACTAAAAAGATGAAATAATTTTGTTTTGCACTATGCTTTCTGCTTTATTAAGTCTGTCTTCGTTCGTGCACAGTTGAGCCCTCGTGATAGAGGCTTCATGATTGTCCTGGTTTGAACATTGATTAATGTCTCCAAAAACTGACCTCTTTCCCGCAAATGTTTCCACGTGTATCTCTCTTTCCAAATAATTAAAATAAGTTTTTTCTTCTCTGTTTTGCCCCTCTAACAACCATCACATTATAGTGAGAATCCTTACTAACCTGAGACTGAAGAGATGCTGATAGAGGGAGAATTTGGACAGAAGGAAATGGAGTTTTTCAAGCGTGACAATAGACAAGTCTAGAAACTTAAAAGAAAGTATTTCATGTTCTTGTCTTTGGCGAAAAAGATGAAATAATTCTGCTTTATAAAGTTGAGCACATCTCTCTTACCAAAAAAAAAGTTGAGCGTATAGGAGGCGACGTCTTATAATATGTTTTCATGTAGGGTGGTTTCAATCTACTACTTATAATATGTATGCATGAACATATCAATATGTCATTCATCTATATTAATTATAAAGCGTAAATTAATAATATCATCTAACAATGTAACAATCTTTTTAAAAAAAACTTATGCTTATGCACAAAGTATACAAAGTAAAAAATTTATGCTACCACCATTATCCTAATCTAGATCCATTGAGCTTTTAAATTACAAAGTAAAATTACAAGAGTGTCAAATATGATTAATCATAACCTAACAGAATGGTTGTTCTGTATCTTTGTTTTGCAAAGTTCCTTTAGTTTTTATTTCATCAGCGCATGTCTTATTATTTGCTTCTGAATGTATGGATTTGAGCAAGCAATGCAGAGTCCTAGCTTGACGGATCCTTCTGAGTGCTTAGGATGTCACTTTGAATGCATATGTCATGTGTTTGATAATTTGATTGAATGAGTTTTCAGTTTCTGAATTGATTTAGGATGTTTGAGTCTCGTCTGCAAAAAGTAGTATTGGATGACTAGTTCTGGATATTATTCATCTACACTGAGTTTAGTCAAGGTCAGGTATGTGTGCAGTTTGTTTGGCTGATTGTTATTGAGTAATCCTTTGGTACAGTCTATGTATCATAGGCCATCTGATTTCTTGAGCCAAGTCATCTTTAGTTAGATTTCTTCTTCTTCTTTTTTTCCAAAAATGTGCCATCGGCATATAAAAATAAGAACACATCCAAGCGAATCGGAGCTTGGTAACAACTCTATTTATGCCTTTGATACCAGAGAAAAAAAAATAGAAACTATTGAATGAAATATGCAGAATTTAAAATTTAATCATATTCATGTTACACAACTAGAACACGCATAGCAATATATAGATACATGAAATATAAATAATATACATACTACTTTATATCATAATTTCCCCGAACCAGCCCCAACCTCATATCCAAAAAATTTCCCCAAAGCTATCCCCAAACATAATTTTATTCTTCGCACGACCCATTAGCATCAGAAAATTACCATCCCTGTACAATAAACCTCATCCATCACATTACTATGAAGAAAAATAAAATAAGGAAGACCAAATCCAAAATACCAAATTTAGAAAGCAATGAAAGCTGCAAGAACCGAAAGCAAAACAGAGAACAAAACCACGTTTCCTCCACTCCCAATCCTCAAAGCCCCTCCTGCACTACTACCACCACCAGCACCACTACCACCACCACCACCACTACCACCACTACCACCACCACCACCACTACCACCACCACCACCACTACTACCACCACCACTACCACCACCACCACCACCAAAGCCACCACCACCCATGCCACTAGCGCACGGAAATTTGTTAGTCGTCTTAAAGGGAGGAGCGCCCTTATTGGGACGATCACTGCACTGGCGATTAACGGGATTATTAGCGCTAGTGCTAGGTTTATTGGGATTAATGCTAGTGCTAGGTTTATTGGGATTAATGCTAGTGCCCGTAGTAGTGGACCTAGCTACCAAGGACAAGGTATGAAAGGACTCCAGGTTGGGGCCGACGATGTCATGTTTGTCGGGGAAACCAGAGTTTTGGTTGACCGCGGGACCCACCTGCCAGACTTGGTTCACGGACTTCTCGTCTTTGGGAACCTTAACGGCGGCGAAGATCTTGAACGTTCCTTTGGAGAACTCGGAGCTGACGTCCCAGATGTCAAACGAGAGTTTTCCCGGTACCAAGGAGGTGTATGAGCTGATGTTGAAGGTTTTGACGGTTGGGATCCCACTATCTGTGTTGTAGGCCAAGAGTATCTGTGCCCCAGCCATCTTGGTGGAGGTGGGGTTGATGCCCCATGCTACCCAGCCGTCAGATTGGGGGGGTGTAGAGACGAAGGCGATGGACAGAGAGGAGTTGGAGGTATCGTAGGTCCAGTGGAGGTAGGAGCTGAGGACGGGGAGGTCGATGCAGTTGGAGTAGAGATTGCTGTTATTGAATACCTGGGAGGTGCAGGTGTCTGCTTGTGCGGGTGAGACTAGCAGAGCCAGGAAGGAAGAGAACCATGAAACTGACACAAGAAGAAGAAGAGAGGAAGCCATTGGGGAGAGAGAGAGAGAGAGAGAGAGAGAGAGAGAATTTGGACAGACCGAAGAAAGGATAAATGTCTTTAGCAAAAGCTAAAGAGAAGATAAATGTCTGAATTCAATTATGGCCCATAGAAGTTGGAGTGTTGCCAAAAGAATTAGAGTGCTGTTTATTATTTCCATTCTTTTAATTTCTTGCCCATTTAACTTGCATTCATGTTATTATAGTGTTGATTGGTTCTTAGTTTGAATTGAATCAAGGGTATTTTAGGAATAATGATGTATGAAAAGATAAGATTATTATTAATTTTTTAATTTACATGATAGATTAGAAGATAAAATGAATAGAAAAATAAAATTCGAGAGAAGGATTATTGTCTTTAGCAAAAAGATGAAATAATTTTGCTTCCACTATATATGCTTTCTGCATAGTTCAGAACTGACTCATGGATTGTACTTTTTATGATTGCCCTGGTCTGAACTTTGAACAATGATATTGATGTCTCCAATTGTATTCTGGCTTGTTAAAAGCTAATTAGAGTTAAATATGTTTGTGGGAAAACTAACATTTAGATATAATTCTCCCTCAAGTGTTTCCACGTGTATCTCTCTTTCCAAAGAATTAAAATAAGTTTTTTTCTTCTTCTCTGTTTTGCCCCTCTATCAACCATCAAATTTTAGTGAGAATCCTTACTAACCTGAGACTGAAGAGATACTGATAGAGGGAGAATTTGGACAGAACGAAATGGAGTTTTTCAAGCGTGACAATAGACAAGTCTAAAAAACTAAAAGAAAGTATTTCATATTCTATGGCTCAATGAAAGTTGGAGTGGTGGTGTTGTCTTTGGCCGAAAAGATTAAATAATTCTGCTTTATTCAAGGTAGCAAATCTCTCCTAAACACAGATAGGACGTTGCTCTTGTCTTTTCCAAGCTCATTTGCATTCATCCTTTCCTGTTGTCGAATGTGGGGCAGTTTCAATCTACTTTATAACACGTATGCATGCGCATATGATATATCAATATCTTGTTCATCTATATATTAATTATAAAACTCAAATTAATAATATCATCTGATAAATGTAGTGATGTCTCTTAAAAATTTGTGCTTATAGGCAATTAAATATGGTAGTTTTGAACAAGAAAAAAAAATTAGGTAGTTTTGACTAATTTACTGTAAATCTGTTCCATCTCCAATACAAGAAGACATCTTTGACGGTTGACATTGTGCGCTGAGCCTTTTCAGATCAGCTTTAACGCCCCATCCCAAGCAGATCTTGTCAGAAGCAACGGACCCGAGCTTTTCAATGAGTTTGGTTGCCAATGGAAAGGCAAGATCCGCCATGGTTTTGTTGAGAGGGAGAATATAATACAAGGGAACTGGGCTATATTGGCTCTTACTAAGATTATGATGAAGATGATTGTGTAACAGGTCGAATCGAGTAAGTGTTAGTTTATAAGTGCAGCTGCTGAGATAGTTTATTATTTCAGTTTGAAAATGTAGCCGTTGGATAACAGTCCAACTGTGCAGTCAGGATGTAACTGTGCATGCCAGGTGTCTCTATCTCATAGGGTAGTGAATGAATGGCTGATTTGTAAATGATGTAATAGGAATGTTCCGATTCCTAACGGTTTTTGTCAGAAGCATATACGTATGATTTGCGTGGGAGCTGAGCTAAATTCTGCTAGCTCTTCTTCTTCCCTAAGCTCTCTCTCTCTCTCATTTTCTTCAGATCACATTTTCTCATCTAAGAGTTAGAATACAAGATAATAGTCTCTGTATTCTAACATGGCCTCAGAGCCAGGTTGGATTGTTTAGCTGGGCGTTTGAATCTGTGAAGAAAGGAAGCTGCGTTTTGAAGCTGTGTGTGAAGGTCTGTGTCTACCATGGCTGGATCTGGATCTGGAGGCGAGGTGAGAGCGCCAATTTTCAATGGAATAATTATGAGTTTTGGAGCATAAAGATGAGAACCATCTTCAGGTCTCATGGATTATGGGATCTGGTTGAAAAGGGTTTAGAGTGGTCAGATTCGAAGGAGCTGATGAATCTGGTGAAAAGAAGAAGGAAAAGGAAGAATCAAAGGGAGTTGGTGAATCTGCTGAGCAGAAGATGAAAAGAGATGTTTCAAGTGGTTCTGAAACAGAGAAGCTGATGAAAGATGCAAAGGCATTGGGGCTGATTCAAGGGGCAGTATCTGATGAGATTTTTCCCCCGGATCTCTCATGAAGAAACTTCTAAAGGAGCTTGGGATCTCTTGATGCAGGAATTTCGAGGTGACAAACAGGTAAGAAATGTGAAATTACAGAGTCTGCGCAGGGAGTTTGAGTACACTAGAATGAGAGATGATGAATCCTTGTCTGTCTATATTACCAAACTATTTGATGTGATTAATCAATGCGTAGCTATGGAGAAATACTGCCTAAAGAAAGAGTAGTACAGAAATTGTTGATTAGCCTACCATCTGCTTATGATTCTATCTGCTCAGTTATTGAACACTCAAGAGACTTGAATGAGATTGAGGTGCAGGAGGTTGTAGCCTCACTAAAGAGTTTTGAGTTGAGATTAGATAGACACTCTGAAAACAAAACAGAGAAGGCATTTGCTAGCCTTAGTGTGGATGCTAAATCGGTAAAACTGGAGATCAGAACAATAAGCAACATAAGAATTGGAAGTCCAAAGGCAAGAAATGGGATAACAAGACAAGTGAAGGCACTAAAACTCCCTGCAAGCACTGTGGTAAGTTACACTTTGGTGAGTGTCGATTCAAGGGCAAACCAAAGTGTTATAACTGTGATAAACTTGGACACATTGCAAAGGATTGCTATAGCAAGAAACACCACAGCAGGTTAACTATGCTACTCAAGTGGAAGCTGCACCAACTATGTTCTATGCTGGAAATGCAATTGGTGCTGGTATAACAAGGGATGAAGAAATCTGGTATTTGGACAGTGGGTGTAGTAATCACATGACAGGAAAAGAGGACTTGCTGGTGGATATTGACAGAAAGGTGACTGCAAAGGTTGAAATGGGAACTGGACAGCTTGTAGATGTAACTGGAAAGGGCACTCTTGTGGTTGAAACCAAAGTAGGCAAGAGATATATCAAAGAAATAATGCTGGTACCTGGACTGAAAGAGAACTTACTCAGTGTGGGTCAGATGATAGAGCATGGCTACTATTTGGTATTTGGAGATCACAAGGTGGAAATCTACAATGACAGCTCTTATTCAAATCTGGTTGCAAAGGTACAAATGAGAGGTAATAGAAGCTTTCCCTTGAAACTGCAGGCTGAAATGCACTTAGCTTATAGGGCAAGTGTAGATCATTCCACTGAACTTTGGCATAGAAGATTTGGACATCTCAATATGAGTAGTCTGAAATTGTTGAAAGAAGAAGATATGGTAGTAGGACTACCAGAAATTAAAGGGATTAAAGAGGTGTGTGAGGGGTGTGTTCTAGGCAAGCAGTGTAGAGAAGCATTTCCAAAGAGGCTACCACTAGAGCACTAACTCCACTAGAACTCATTCACAGTGACATCTGTGGTCCTATGCAGACAGTTACCAAAGCTGGAAATCGGTTCTTTCTCACTTTCATAGACGATTGCACAAGGATGTGTTGGGTTTTATTTCTTAAGACACAAGTCTGAAGCTCTAACTGTGTTTAAGAAATTCAAGGCCACTGTGGAATTGCAAAGTGGTTATAAACTGAAAAAGTTGAGAAGTGATAGAGGGGGAGAATACACTTCAGTGGAGTTTGACAGTTTCTGTGAAGATGTAGGAATTGAAAGACAGCTTACAACCCCATACACACCACAGCAAAATGGTGTGGCAGAGAGGAAAAATAGAACCATAGTAGAAATGGCCAAGTGTTTGATGTTGGAGAAGAAAATTCCATTTGATTTTTGGGCTGAGGCAGTCAACATATCTGTGTATATTTTGAATAGGTGTCCAACTAAAGCTTTGAGCAAAAAGACACCATTCGAAGCCTATAGTGGAAGGAAGCCAGGGATTAAACATCTAAAGGTATTTGGCTCACTATGTTATGCTCATGTACCAAAACAACAAAGACAGAAATTAGATCTTCAAGCAAGAGGTGTATCTTCTTGGGGTATGGCAGCTGTGAGAAAGGTTACAGGCTGTACAACATTGAAACTGAGAAGGTGATTGTTTCAAGAGATGTAATATTTAGTGAAAATGAGTGTTGGGATTGGAATGCAAAGAAGGAAACTAGTGTGAACATTCAGCTCACTGGAATCCGAGAAGAAGCACAAGGAGAAGAAGGGAGTTCTTGTGAACTTGAAGAACAATTGGAAGTGAATGAGGTGCCTAGTTTAAACACTGAAAACAGTGATCAAGAAATGGTCATAGGTCTGCAGGATGTTGATCATACTCCTCTCAAATACAAGAGCATTGCAGAAATTTATGAAAAATGCAATATGTGCATTATAGAACCAGAAAGTTTTGAAGAGGCAGCCAAGGATGACTCTTGGAAGAAAGCAATGGAAGATGAAATCACCATGATTGAAAAGAACAATACATGGGAGCTTGTAGCTAGACCATTTGATAAACCAATCATTGGAGTCAAATGGGTCTATAAGACTAAACTAAACCTAGATGGATCTGTGCAGAAGAATAAGGCTCGGCTGGTTGCAAAGGGATATTCTCAAAAGCCTGGAATAGACTTCAATGAGACTTTTGCACCAGTGGCTCGTCTTGACACTGTGAGAGCTTTGGTAGCATTGGCTGCACAGAAAAATTGGAAGCTTTTCCAGTTAGATGTGAAATCTGCCTTTCTCAATGGAGTACTAAGTGAAGAGGTGTATGTGGATCAACCATCTGGTTTTGTGATTCAAGGAAGTGAAGATAAGGTGTATAGGCTTAAGAAGGCTTTGTATGGCTTGAAGCAAGCTCCAAGAGCTTGGTATGAAGAGATAAATTCCTATTTTACTAGAGCTGGTTTTCATAGGAGCTTAAGTGAAGCTACCTTTATACACTAAAAGGTCTTCAAGTGGTATTCTCATTGTGTCACTCTATGTAGATGACATTATCTATACAGGAAGCTCAAAGGAGATGATGCTTGAATTTAAGGATGAGATGATGAGACAATATGAAATGACAGACCTTGGATTGCTTCATCATTTTCTCGGCCTTGGGGTTTTACAAACAGACACTTGCATTTTCTTGCATCAGAAGAAATATGCAAAGACTTTGCTAGAGAAGTTTGGACTCAAGGACTGCAAATCGGTTGCAACACCATTGGCAGTGAATGAAAAGTTGTCTAAAGTGGATGGGAGTGACCTAGCAGATGAGACTTTGTATAGACAAATGGTAGGAAGCTTGCTCTACCTAACTGCAACAAGACCAGACATTATGTTTGCATCTAGTCTTTTGGCCAGATTTATGCACAATCCTACCAAGAAGCACATGGGAACAGCGAAAAGGGTGCTAAGATATATACAAGGTACTATAAGCTATGGCATTGCTTATGAGAAAGGAAAAGGAGCTGTGTTAATTGGCTATTGTGACAGCGATTGGAGTGGTAGTGAAGATGATATGCGGAGCACATCAGGCTATGCATTTAATTGGGGTCAGGAGTGTTTTCTTGGGCCTCAATTAAGCAGAGCAGTGTGGCTCTCTCCACTGCAGAGGCAGAATACATGAGCGCAGCAGAGGCAACCACTCAAGCTGTTTGGCTCAGATTTGTGCTATCAGATTTTGGTGAAGAACAGGTAGAACCAACTCAGTTGTTGTGTGACAACACTTCGGCTATTGCTATATCAAAGAATCCTGTTCATCACCACAAAACTAGACACATCAATCGCAGGTTTCATTTCATTCGAGATGCTCTTCACAATGGTGAGATTGATTTGCTTTATTGCAAAACTGAAGAACAGGTTGCTGATATATTCACCAAGCCTCTAGCAAGGGATCGGTATGAGTATCTAAGGAAGGCTTTAGGTGTTATCTCAGCACAACACTTAGAAGGGAGTGTTAGTTTATAAGTGCAGCTGCTGAGATAGTTTATTATTTCCATTTGAAAATGTAGCCGTTGGATAACAGTCCAACTGTGCAGTCAGGATGTAACTGTGCATGCCAGGTGTCTCTATCTCATAGGGTAGTGAATGAATGGCTGATTGTAAATGATGTAATAGGAATGTTCCAATTCCTAACGGTTTTTGTCAGAAGCAATATACGTATGATTTGCGTGGGAGCTGAGCTAAATTCTGCTAGCTCTTCTTCTTCCCTAAGCTCTCTCTCTCTCTCATTTTCTTCAGATCACATTTTCTCATCTAAGAGTTAAAATACAAGATAATAGTCTCTGTATTCTAACAGTAAGCTATTCATATTTCATTCCTGCCTCAACACCCATAATATTGAAACCGGAGATTTCCCCTTCTCGCATTCATTGGAGAAGGGATTCCTGACCTTACAATAATACTCATAAAAACAATAATTTTGAATGAGCAAAAAAATATAAATAGAAATGATTGGATTAGAACAGCAAACAAAAAGAAAGCTTTATTTTCATGAATTAATTATTTGATTCCAGATACAATATAATTCCCAACATAATATCCATAAATCTCCCTAAACGCATATCCGTATCTAATTTTATCCTTCATATCCGACCTAGAACATACTCGTATAACAAAATTGCCTAAAGGTCAAAAGACACTTTTTAAATGTTTTTAGTAAGCAAATAAGGCTTTTTTGGTATTGTCATTATTCAAAGGTGTTACTGCCAAAAAAATTAGCCTTTGTTTTTTGGGTCACAATATCATTACATAACAAGAAACGTAGTGGCTTGTACAAAGCCAAAACAAGGAAAACATATAGAAAAGGGGACGAGGCAGAAGAAAAGCACTTTAAAAAACTCAAAACAAGTTTCAACTCCAAAACGACAATACATTATTGTGTGTTACAAGGTCCAAACAAATACAGGTATGGTATTAATTATCACACAATAAGAATAACACACCTGAGGCCTTTAGGAATAATCTTTTAACAGAAATGATTCATCTAGAGAATCTCCAAGAATATGTCATTTTTGACATATCTCTTCCAGCCTTCGAATTCATGTAAGATTTAATTATTCGGTTGGAGCAACTTTAACCTTCAATTTTTGCCATTTCAAGTTCATATCTGTGACAATTTGACATATCGGTTGAAAATGCTCTAAGATAAAGAAATTTCATGACACAAGGAAGAAATGATGGGTTTAAAACTTTGCATGAAATTCTATATATATAAAACTAATTGTGTAGTATAAGAATATAAAAAAAATCAGAAATATATGCTAGCACCATTATCCTAATCTAGATCCATTGAGCTTTTAAATTACAAAGTAAAATTATACGAGTGTCAAATATGATTAATCATAACCAAACAGAATGGTTGTTCTGTATTTTTGTTTTGCGAAGTTCCCTTAGTTTTATTTCATCAGCATGTCTTATTATTTGCTTCTGAATGTATGGATTTGAGCACACACTTGAATCACCTTAGTTGTAGCTAGCAATACGGAGTCCTAACTTGACGGATCCTTCTTAGTGCTTAGGATGTCACTTGGAATGCATATGTCATGTGTTTGATAATTTGATTGAATGAGTTTTTCAGTTTCTGAATTGATTTAGGATGTTTGTGTCTCGTCTGCAAAAAGTAGTATTGGATGACTAGTTCTGAATGCAAAAGGTTTAGTTAAAGTCAGGTATGTGTGCAGTTTGTTTGGTTGATTGTTATTGGGTAATCCTTTGGTACAGTCTATGTATCGTAGGCCATCTGATTTCTTGAGCCAAGTCATCTATCATCTGTTACGTTTTAACTCAGAGTCCTTGTTCTCATTGATTCATTGTCATTGGTGATTCTGCCGCTTACTCCCACTAAATAAAAGGATTTAACTTAACAAACTCTATTAAACAAGTAACCAAAATAAATAAAAATTTTGTGCTTACTAATTGTTTCATCTTCAACAATATAATAGGGATGAGAACATGACCAAGCGAATCGGAGCTTGGTACCAGAGAAAAAAATTAGAAACTATTGAATGAAATATGCAGAATTTAAAATTTAATAATATTCATGTTACACAACTAGAACACACTTAGCAATATATACATATTACTTTATATCATAATTTCCCCGAACCGGCCCCAACCTCATATCCAAAAAATTTCCCCAAAGCTATCCCCAAACATAATTTTATTCTTCACACGACCCATTAGCATCAGAAAATTACCATCCCTGTACAATAAACCTCATCGATCACTTTACTATGAAGAAAAATAAAATTTGGAGACCAAATCCCAAAATACCAAATTTAGAAAGCAATGAGAGCTGCAAGAACCGAAAGCAAAACAGAGAACAAAACCACGTTTCCTCCACTCTCAATCCTCAAAGCCCCTCCTGCAATACCACCACCACGATCAAGGCCACCACCACCACCACCAAGGCCACTAGCTGGACTGCAGTGTATCATGTTAGTCGTCCCAGGGGGAGTGCGAGTGCCCATATTGGGAGCAGGAGCAGCAATGCAATGGACAGGTCTAGGGCGATCAATGCTAGTGCCCGTAGTGGTCTTAGCTGCCAAGGACAAGGTCTGAAAGGACTCCAGGTTGGGGCCGACGATGTCATGTTGTCGGGGAAACCAGAGTTTTGGTTGACCGCGGGTCCCACCTGCCAGACTTGGTTCACGGACTCCTCGTTTTTGGGGAACCTTAACCGCGGCGAAGATCTTGAACGTTCCGTTGGAGAACTCGGAGCTGATGTCCCAGATGTCAAACGAGAGTTTTCCCAGTACCAAGGAGGTGTATGAGCTGATGTTTAAGGTTTTGACGGTTGGGATCCCACTATCTGTGTTGTAGGCCAAGAGTATCTGTGCCCCAGCCATCTTGGTGGAGGTGGGGTTGATGCCCCACGCTACCCAGCCGTCAGATTGGGGGGGGTGTAGAGACGAAGGCGATGGACAGAGAGGAGTTGGAGGTATCGTAGGTCCAGTGGAGGTAGGAACTGAGGACGGGAGGTCGGTGCAGCTGGAGTAGAGCTTCTTGTTATTGAATGCCTGTGAGGTGCAGGTGGCTGCTTGTACGGGTGAGACTAGCAGAGCCAGGAAGGAAGAGAACCATGAAACTGACACAAGAAGAAGAAGAGAGGAAGCCATGGAGAGAGGGCGAGAGAGAGAGAGAGAATTTGGACAAACCGAAGAAAGGATAAATGTCTTTAGCAAAAGCTGAAGAGAAGATAAATGTCTGAAATATTCAATTATGGCCCAATGAAGTTGGAGTGTTGCCAAAAGAATTAGAGTGCGGCTATTTCCACTTTTTGTTCTCTTTTTCCATTCACCTTGTTTGTAAATGACTTCTAAGAACTTGTGTAACCCACTTATATTCAGTATATTGATAGTCGATATAACCCAAAATAAATATAAAAAAATGAAGAGAAGTTATTACTTTAGTTTTGAAATTTTGATTTTACAAGATTGATTATTTTCTTGTGTACCAGAATCTGTTTGAAGGAAAGAGAAGCAAAAGCAACTTGAAGCGAAGAAGTAAAACCCATGAGGTCTCTTCTCCTAAATGAAGGGTATTTAGGAATAATGGTAGGTGGCTGATTTGGTTTGGAAATGCCTCTGTCACAACAAATTTTTCAAGTCTGTTTAAGTCCAATTAAATAATACGACTTTGCTTGATGTGTCGTAATCCTTCCTACAAGCGTTAAGTAGTCAAAATATTTATATATTGCTTTCTTGTCGCTTAACTCTGCTATTTTGGCTAAACAAGAGGAGGTTCTTGTGGTGCTCTATCGAGGTGTCATTCATGAGGTATTATGAATTCATATTTTGTTAATGTATGGTTTTTGTAATTTTCTTTTGGCTTCCCTTGACATCTTTGTAATAGGATTTGTATTGTTATTTACCAAGCTCTAGCCTTGATTAAGAATAGCTTCTCTAAGTGTTCTTAACTATCATCTATCCTATGGAGATTCAAGCAAATTGACAAAGGTAAATTCATGCATTGCATATCATTGCATTAAACTGTTTTTATAAAAATGATGACTAGTCATCTGTTTCTCGTATGACTAGTCATCCTTGCTCTGCTGGATTTCCAGCTGGATAAACCAACTTCTTTGTCCTATTCTCCTTTCTCTCTTTGCTGCCAGGTGTGATTCTGAGGGAATTTCTGTCTGTAAAGGCTTCGAAATTCCTCTTTGGGCAGTTGTCTCTTTTGTGTGCAAGTTTTGGAAAGATTGATTTGCTATCCTTCTCTTCTTCTTCCTCAAGAGAGAACCAAATATTTCATCTATGAGTTTTTCCAATTGATTTCTTATTTGAAAAAACTGCATTTGAAACACGACTCTGCATCTAGCTACTTAAATCATTCACTCATTTATATCTAGGTCAGATTCAAGATTGATTTCTTCAAGAGTATGGTTTCTTGAAGAAATTGGTCATTCCCCTTTAAATCCAAATTTTGGTTTCGGTCTGTGTTGGAGCTTGCAAGCTAGTGTCATGGGATGAACAAGCTGGAGAATAAGCTGTCATTGCCATGAAGAACTGAGCTTCAAGTTTTGCTAAGTTGGAGAAGAAGATTGCATGAAGGAGGTATAGCTCATATTCCTAAATAGATCTAGGTGTTTATTGAGCTTGGTTGTGTTTCCTTTGTAAGAATCTTTTTCTACTTAGTGGAGTGCCTGGTCGGTTGATGACTCCTAGTTTTTCCCAATGATGGGTTTCTGGGTGAACAAATTTTGTTTGCATATATGTAGTTTTTCTGGGTTTGTGTTCTTGGTGGTTGACTAGTCATCTTTATCTGCTGTTTAGTGTTTACTTGATAATGATAATTTCACACACTTTCACCACAGTTGTTGCTAGCACAGGGGATGCCTAGATTGACAGGTCCTTCTAAGTGCCTAGGTTGTCACTAGTAATCTTCTAGGGTTGCAGGTACTTTGTGGCATGCTCTGTGTGTTATCTTGATTGTGGTTGTTCATGACTAGCAGTTGACTAGTCATATGTGTATTTGGTCAAGGTCTAAAGTGTGTAAAGATTGTTGTGTGTTGTGTTTTGTTTGTGTCGTTAAATTTACCCATCGTCACCTAAGTACCAATTTCAATTGGTATCAGGGCATCAGCTCTTAACACAAATAGAGAGATCCTAGGATTTGGTTTTGGTGTTTAGGTGTGCTTACTATGGAAAGGGATCGAGTTGTTGGATCTTGCAACTCCCCTCCTTATTTTAAGTGCAATAACTACGCTGCATGGAGAGAAAAATTTGAGATATTCCTTGATGCTCTTAATGAGTATGCAAAAGCTGAAGAGAAGATAACACTACTACATTTTAGTCTTTGCGCGACGTAGGGGTCTTCGTCGCGCAAAAAAGATTTTAGTCGCACATAATTATGCGCGACAGAAGTTTCGTCGCGCACAGTCCGTCGCACAAAGTTCGTGAAGAAAGGATTTGCGCGACGAATAAATGTCATTCGTCGCGCTGTTTGCGCTACGTATAACAACTTCGTTTAGAAAAAACATTTTGGGGACGACCTCAATGTCCGTCGCACAAATATTTGCGCGACGAAATAGTGGTCGTCGCCAAAAAAAACTGCGCGACGGACACTTCCGTCGCGCGAGCTACATGAACTTTGCGCGACGAAATCTTATTCGTCGCGCATACACATTTGCGCAAAAATTATTCGTCGCGCATGATTAAAATATATTTGTCGATTGTTATTTAAATGTTTTTGCGCGACGATTTACGTTTCGTCGCGCAAAAGCAATATATATTATTAAAAAAAATTATTATTATTTGATTTTTAATTTTGTAAAAAAATAAATTTGGTTTTTTTTATAATTAAAATGAAATTACAATAAAAAGATTAATCGTAAAGAAAACATCTATTATATAAAATAAAAGAAATGTATACAAATTGTAAAAGTAATTATAAAAATAAAAAACTAATCAAATAATGTTCCAAAATCTACTTGGTCATCTGCCACATGCGGCTCGGAGGTATGGGCGTCTGCAGGGGCCGTGGTGTGCTGGGGATGCTCGGGGTGGACGGGCTCGGAGGTCGACGCACCAAAATTCGGGATTGGAATGCCGGACCGCGCGAGGGACTGCAGAATCACCGACATCTGACCCTCAAGCTCGGCAACCCGCGATGTCAAAACAGTCACCTGACTGTTTGCCTGCGACGATGACCGCGGTCGAGGTTCCCTCTGTCGGGCATTCCCCATCCCCCTACAATACGTTCCCGGCCTCCTCCCGAGAGTCTGATCCAACGTCTGCGTCAAAATCTGAAATCCAGCATCATGCGGAGGATCCACAGACTCGATCGGAGTCTCGGGAGGAAGTTGGGGAGGCGGACTCTTGAAGAACCAACTGGCTCCTCTCCACCATCGTCGTCTGTTTAACATTACATAAAATATAAATTCAAAAATGCATATAAATTGAAAGTGTAACATAAGAATTAAAAATACATAATACTTACATGAAGGGACTCGGCCAACTCATTCCCAGGTCGAACATAAACGTCACCAAAGACGTCGATCTCTGGGAATTTCGACCCCCCCTTAATTGAACAAGAGAAGGAAAATATTAGTATGAACAAAAGAAATTAATAATAATGACGTATTAAAAATTAAATATAAATTATATTATTCTTACCCGACGCCGTGCATCCATCCTATATGAGAAGGGCCTGGAGCCGGAATGGTGAAGAAGAGTCTTCTTCTTCCTATTGCCCTTATTCACTTGGGCTTTATTCTGTTATACAAAAAATAAAACGTAATAATTGAACTATAAATAAATTAAATAATAATGAGATATAAAAATAAAATAAACATTAAACAAATATTATTAAAAAATACCACATAATCGGGCGCCTGAAAATGAGCGCAGAGCCACGCCCAACTATCCTCCCGCCCCTCAAGCTCCTTCGGGCAACCCTCCTGAAGAGCGACTTGCGGATCATCAAACGCCTGAAATGGTGGTGCAAGTCGCTCTTCCACTGCTTGTACCTCTCACCGAAGAGTCTGTTGACGTACGCCAAGGTCTCCTCGTTGATGTCCTCTAAGTCGTAGTTCGTCTGCAATAAATTGATTACATACATTAAGTAATAGAAAATATAAAGTTTGAAAGAAAAATAATTAAAAGATAGGAAACATACCGACAACTGGCCGCGAACTTGCATCTTGATCTCGTCAGGCATGACCTTCCAAGACTTCCATTGCATCGGGCAATGGGTCCGAACGACGTGGCCAATGTCGTGGGCCAAGGAGCTATGCAAGTCCGCCGTCGGTGCAGCCCGATGGCGCTCGTCATATCCGATGCTGATACGACTGTTGGTCACCCGGGTGACCTTCGCCGTCTTCAGCTGCCGACACGGCCCTCGGGTGTTCTCTTGGCTGCAAAGGGATATGACAATATTGTTACATATACAATCAAATTGAACCATAAAATTCCAATTAAAAAAATTTTAAAATAAATAAAAAAAAAAAAAAAAAATGGAAGGGGATTACCTGGAGGTGCCCCCGAGGCACCAGTACAGTCAGTCGATGTGGTGTCGGTGGTGGTAGCGGGCCGGTGTCGCCGCCTAGCGCTAAGAGGCTGCACCACCGAAGAAGATGATGATGCAGCGCCTGGGATCCCCCAGGACCAGCTAGCACGTGGTCCTGCTCCATCAGTGCTGGAGCAGTGGGCAGCTGATACCGGCTGAGCCGGGGCTCCGAACTCGGTGTAAGCCGTCACCCGCCCTACGACGTCTAATCAAGTCTGTTTTTTTTTTTTTTTTTTTTTTTTTTTTTTTTTTTTTTTTTTTTTTTTTTTTTTTTTTTTTTTTTTTTTTTTTTTTTTTTTTTTTTTTTTTTTTTTTTTTTTTTTTTTTTTTTTTTTTTTTTTTTTTTTTTTTTTTTTTTTTTTTTTTTTTTTTTTTTTTTTTTTTTTTTTTTTTTTTTTTTTTTTTTTTTTTTTTTTTTTTTTTTTTTTTTTTTTTTTTTTTTTTTTTTTTTTTTTTTTTTTTTTTTTTTTTTTTTTTTTTTTTTTTTTTTTTTTTTTTTTTTTTTTTTTTTTTTTTTTTTTTTTTTTTTTTTTTTTTTTTTTTTTTTTTTTTTTTTTTTTTTTTTTTTTTTTTTTTTTTTTTTTTTTTTTTTTTTTTTTTTTTTTTTTTTAACATCGAGATACACAATGTGTGTTGCCCATGGTTGCCAAAATATAAGGGTCGTCATCATACCAAGTTCTGTTCATGTTCACAGATAGTAAGCCATGATCGATTTTAACACTTCCCGGCCTATTTGGGTTGGTGTCAAACCATCGACACTTAAACATGATCACTTGGTATCGATCTTGTAAAGCAATTGCACGACAGTTGGGAGTTTGCCATAGAAATTCAATGACGTACTTTCGCCTCCACCTGGGACATGGACACCGCTGTTTTGCGTACACAACTTGTCATCTCGTGCTTTCGGCCAAAAATTTGACACCGTTGACATTACAACCCGAGAACAATTCAGCGCGAATCGGGCCAAACGCCAAGTTATATAACTCACATCACTGTAAGTTGGGGAATTCGATGATTTCAACTTATTCACCTAATATTATACAAAACCATTCATGTTAGTCTGACAAAATTAAATAAAAAAAATTTATATTTCTCAAATAACAAAACACTGATAACTTACAGAATCCAAAAACCATTGTGGAAACAATTCACGGTGTTTCTGGGCAACCAAATGTGATGGATGTTCTCGCTTCATCATCTCTTCATGCTCATATAAGTATCCCATGATCTCATCACAAGTGTTCAGTACGAACCAATGCGCTACCTCCATGTCATTTCTAGAAAACGACTCTCCGCGTCCAGGATCTCCAAAAGGGTCGTGCGCGTTGGGCAAAACAAAGAAAGTTTTTCATTTCTCATACCTCCATCATGATTGCGCTGAGGACGATTGAAAACCGTCTCCACATCTTTTAAATACATTCCGCAGAAAGTAAGCGACTCATATTGAACCCAAGCCTCTACGATTGATCCTTCGGGCTTCGCCCTGTTGCGTACACTTTTTTTCAGCTCTCCGAGAAGCCTGCCAAAATAAAACGATATGATTGAAATTAGCAAGCATGTGATAATGAGCATACACAAACGATAAGGATTATATACCTTTCTATTGGATACATCCAGCGATAGTTGACAGGACCAGCAAGTAATGCCTCTTCTGGCAAGTGAACCATCACGTGCATCATACTTGTGAAGAAAGCTGGGAGGAAATATCATCTCAAACTTGCATAGGACTTGGACAATGTCATGGCGCAACTGAAACATGTCCGTTTTTCGCAAAGTTTTGCCGTCAGTTGGGAAAAAAATCTGGACAACAAAATGATTGGCTTCACTACATCTTCCGGCAATAGGTGTCGAATACCAACAGGAAGTAGGCGTTGCATAAACACATGGCAGTCATGGCTTTAAGTCCAGTAAATTTACCCCCGTCAACATTCACACAACGTGCGATATTAGAAGCATACCCATCGGGAAACTTTACTGACGATACAAACTTTAGAAACTCTTCTTGTCATTCGGTTTCATAGAAAAGAATGCAAGATCCCTTCTAGCTTTATCATTGTCCCTATTCATCCATAAACCCTTCGTATGCCCATTCTTTCCAAATCAAGACGAGCTTTGATCGTGTCCTTTGTCTTCCCCTCGATATCTAGAATCGTGCCCACCAATGTGTCGAATACATTTTTCTCAACATGCATCACATCTAGATTGTGCCTCAATTTTAGTTTCGACCAATATGGGAGCTCAAAAAACATAGGTTTGTGCGTCCAGTTCATATGTGTAGAAGGTCTGATACGACTAACTGTTTTCCCGAAGGGAGCAAAATCCAACCGGTTAAGCTGGTCCAATATCTCATCACCGGACCATTCTCTGGGTCTAAGGCGACGCTCTGTGTTCCCGTCGAAACTCTTTATCTTTTTCCCTCCACTCATGGTCCCATGGCAACCATCTCCGATGACCAAGGTAACAAACTTTTCCAGCATGCCAACCAGAAGTTACATCTTCCTTGCATACAGGACATGCCATATAACCTTTTGTGCTCCACCCAGAAACCATTGCATATGCTGGGAAATCATTCACAGTCCACATAACTGCTGCCCGCAAAGTGAACATCTTCCCAGTTGATTTATCGTACGTGCGAACACCGTTTGTCCATAAATCCTTCAGCTCATCAACCAGCGGCCTTAAGTAAACATCGATTGACCTCCCAGGATCCTCAGTTATCAAAACAGTCATCATCATGTATTCTTTTTTCATGCATTTCCAAGGCGGCAAATTATATGGGAATACGAAAATCGGCCAAGTGTTGTGGTGTTGGTTTAGAACCCCATACGGATTGAATCCGTCAGTGGCAAGTCCCAATCTAACATTTCGGGGATCAGCAGCAAACTCGGGGAACGTTCGATCGAACTCTTTCCATGCCTCCCCATCTGCAGGATGCCGCATCACATCATCGTCTACCCGTTTTCCTTATGCCATCTCATGTCTGTGGCAGTATGCGTCGACATATACAATCGCTGCAACCTAGGTTTCAGGGGCAAATAACGCATGACTTTTTGTGGGATCTTAGTCGTCCTATTCTGAGATGTCATCTTGAACCTCGACTCATTGCATATAGGACATGTATCCAACGATTCATGCTCTTTGTAGAATAACATGCAATTGTTTTTGCAAGCATGGATTTTTTCATAACCCAATCCAAGACCATTCAACACCTTCTGCGCCTGTTTATGGTCTTTCGGCAAACAATTGTCCGTCGGAAGCATTCTCTTGAAAACCCCCAAAAAGTAATCGAAACACAGGTTCGACATACGATACTTTATTTTTCCGTGCATTAGCTCCACAATGGCCGTGAGAACGGAAAAGCTCTCGCACCCCGGGTATAAACTCTTGGTTGGCATTTTTTAACAATTTCTCATATTGTTCAAACTCCGCACTGTCTATTGGTGTAGGCACATCATCTTGCTCTTCTTGATTCATGTTGGTCGATGCAAATGGAAAAACATCCTGTATAATATCCATGACTTGATCATTAGCATCCACAATAGGTTGAACATTGTCCACTCTTGTGGCATTTGAAGACGAAGCATGCTCTAATTGTTCCCCGTGAAGGTTCCAAATGCTATATGTCTCAATCATTCCATTCCTTACTAAATGAAATCCAACATTTTCAATTGTCTCCCATAACGTGTTGTTGCACCTCCTACAAGGACAACGGATTCTAGTTGCACACCCGGGTTGTGTCTAAGTGCAAACTCAATAAAATCCTCGATTCCATCCAAGTATTCGTCTGCGCATCTGTTCGGGTTCTGTATCCACCTTCTGTCCATAATTCCTGAAACCAGAATCACAACACAACAATCACAACAACTTCATACGAAGTTATAATGTCACCTTATGCCTCCGGTAAGGGTCCTATCCCATTCGGGAATGCATACTCCTGCCACGTAACCTACGACTACATGAGATTAGATTTCGACGTGGATGAATTTCGCCAGCATCTCGCTACAGTTCTTGAGGTGGCCATAGGTATAAATACCTACGTACCACCCGAAGAACGTACCGAGATGACAACGAAATATCCACAATCGAAACCTAATCCTGTAGCCATAGATTACGTGACAACACTATGCATTACCAAACTGTCCAAATAATGGGACAATTCAAGAATTAATTGGACCGCAGTCATGCATTACGCATCCATGCACGAAATCCAACTAATCTCGAACGGGAAACTAAGTGTTACTAAACATAAAAATAAAAGCACGAAGTTAATTTCAATTAACTTCGTACATCACAACAGATTGTACTACGCTACACACAACATAATATAAATATAACTTCACAAGAACATTTTAAACATAACAAATTAACATTAATATAAAACGAATAAAATACCTTCTCAATCGTTCTCCACCAATCGCTAATTACAAATATCCCTAACGAAAACAAATTAAAAAACCTTAGTACGAACTTAAATTAATACTTTTAAACTAATGACGAAAAATATTTACCCAATCAATGTATTGAAATCCCAGCAGCGGCAGAGAGGTTGAGAGAGAGGCAGAGGCAGAATGCTTTGTTTTTGCATTCTGCCTCTGCAATGGCAGAATTCTAATATGAAGAAGAAGGACTTTGCGCGACGAACATATTATTCGTCGCGCAAACTTCCGTCGCAAAAAACCAAATCGTCCGTCGCGCAAACCTTTTTCTTCGTCGCCCAAACACCTGCCGACATCTAACTTTTGCGCGACGCTGGTACCTTCCGTCGCGCAATATTGTCGCGCAAAAACAAAATTCCGTCGCGCAAAACAAGATATTCGTACCGCAAACGTGGAACTTTACGCGACGAACAGTACTTACGTCGCACGAAAAAAAAATATCCCAACCATGTCATTTTGGCGCCAAAAATAAAATATCTCTCGTTCTCTTACATGACGAAACATCTTCCCGTCGCGCTAAATAAGGGGACCCACTGGGTACTGTCCTTTTTGCGCGACGGAACATTGATTCGTCGCTCAATGTTGCCTTTAGCGACGATATTTCTCGTCGCGCAAATGTTTCGCGCCAAAAAAATTCCCCCCGCGTTTTTTAACTCTGTTTGCGGGACGAAAAATTGTTTTGTCGTGCATATACATTTTGTGCGACGAAAATTTTGGTGGCGCAAATTTTGAGTGGATTGCGCGACGAATAGTTTCTTTCATCGCGCCAGTATGGTTTGCGCGGCGACTTAGTCTTCGTCGCGCAAATGGTGAAACGTAGTAGTGTAACTGTTTTTAGCAAAAGCTGAAGAGAAGATAAATGTTTGAAATCAATTATGGTCCAATGAAGTTGGAGTGTAGCCAAAAGAGTTAGAGAGCTTGTTGTATATAAATATCAAATTTTAATCTAGCTAGTCCTAGTGAGAAGCCCTCTGCTAACCGGAGCCTCAAGAGATGATTCATATAAGAGAGAGAGAGAGAGAGAGAGAGAGAGAGAGAAGAGAGAGAGAGAGAGAGAGAGAGAGAGAGGCCCTCTGTTAAAAAAAAAAGTACATTCCAAATTACCAGTACTTACACCTGATCAAATTTCTATGGTTCGTTTAAATTGGGAAGTAGCTTAATTTATACATAGAGAGAGAGCGTGTGTGTGTATGTGTGTATTTTTGGCAAAAAATCAAAAGGGAAGATAAATGTCTGAGTTTATATTTCAAGTATGGCCCAATAAAGTTGGAGTGTTGTCAAAAGAAATATTGTTAATAAAAAGATGAAATAATTGTGGCCCAATAATGCGGGCACCATGCTTTCTGTTTTATTAAATCAGTCTTGGTGCACAGTTTGTTGCCAAAAAGATGAAATAATTTATACAGAGAGACACACAGAGAGTGTGTGCGCGCGTCTTTTGGAAAAAAACAAATGTGTGAATTTATATTTTAGAAATTTATAAATAAGCCCAATTCTAGACATGTATTTATAAAAAAAACCCAAGCACTATTTAAACATAGAAACACACCCAAAATCAACCCCAAAGTCAACTTTTTGGGTGTGTTTATAAATGGATTTTGAGTGTGTGTAATGATGGGTTTTGGGTGTGTTTATATGTTTAAATAGTGCTTGGGTTTTTTTATAATTTCAACCCCCATTTTGGGTGTTTTAGTGAAACTCCCTTAAACTTTGCATGAAATTCTATATATATAAAATTAATTGGTAGTGTTAGAATATAAGAACGCTTTTAAAACAAAAAAATCAGAAATATATGCTAGCACCATTATCCTAATCTAGATCCATTGAGCTTTTAAATTGCAAAGTAAAATTACAAGGGTGTCAAATACGATTAATCATAACCTAACAGAATGGTTGTTCTGTATCTTTGTTTTGCAAAGTTCCTTTAGTTTTTATTTCATCAGCGCATGTCTTATTATTTGCTTCTGAATGTATGGATTTGAGCACCCTTGAATCAACTTAGTTGTTGCTAGCAATACGGAGTCCTAGCTTGACGGATCCTTCTTAGTGCCTAAGATGTCACTTTGAATGCATATGCCATGGTGATTCTACTGCTTACTCCATTGGCTAAGAAGATGTCACTTTGAATGCATATGCCATGGTGATTCTACTGCTTACTCCATTGGCTATTTGATATGAGGGTGACATTTTAGTTAGATTTCTATTTTTTCAAAATGTGTCATTGGCATATAAATAAGAACACATCCCACTAAATAAAAGGATTTAACTTAACAAACTCTATTAAACAAGTAACTAAAATCAAAAAAGATTTTGGACAGACCGAAGAAAGGATAAATGTCTTTAGCAAAAGCTGAAGAGAAGATAAATGTCTGAATTCAATTATGGCCCACAGAAGTTGGAGTGTTGCCAAAAGAATTAGAGTGCTGTTTATTATTTCCATTCTTTTAATTTCTTGCCCATTATTTAACTTGCATTCATGTTATTATAGTCTTGATTGGTTCTTAGTTTGAATTGAATCAAGGGTATTTTAGGAATAATTATGTACGAAAAGATAAGATTATTATTATTTTTACAAATTTATAAATAAACCCAATCCTAGACATGTATTTATAAAAAAACCCAAGCATTATTTAAACATAGAAACACACCCAAATCAACCCCAAAGTCAACTTTTTGAGTGTGTTTATAAATGGGTTTTAAGTGTGTGTAATGATGGGTTTTGAGTGTGTTTATATATTTAAATAGTGCTTGGGTTTTTTTATAATTTCAACTCCCATTTTGGGTGTTTTAGTGAAACTCCCTATTATTTTTTAATAAACAGGATAGATTAGAAGATAAAATGAATAAAAAAATAAAATACGAGTGAAAACAACTGAAGGATTATTGTCTTTAGCAAAAAGATGAAATAATTTTGCTTCCAGTATGCTTTCCGCTTGATTAATTAGTCAGTCTTAGCGTTCGTGCATAGTTGAGACCTGACTCATGGATTGTACTTTCTATGATTGCCCTGGTTTGAGCTTTGAACAATAATTGATGTCTCCAATTGTTTTCTGGCATGTTAAAAGCTAATTAGAGTTAAATATGTTTGTGGGAAAACTAACATTTAGGTATAATTCTCCCTCAAGTGTTTCCACGTGTATCTCTCTTTCCAAAGAATTAAAATAAGTTTTTTTCTTCTTCTCTGTTTTGCCCCTCTAACAACCATCAAATTTTAGTGAGAATCCTTACTAACCTGAGACTGAAGAGATACTGATAGAGGGAGAATTTGGACAGAACGAAATGGAGTTTTTCAAGCGTGACAATAGACAAGTCTAAAAAACTAAAAGAAAGTATTTCATATTCTATGGCTGAATGAAAGTTGGAGTGGTGGTGTTGTCTTTGGCCAAAAAGATGAAATAATTCTGCTTTATTCAAGGTAGCGAATCTCTCCTAAAAGCAGATAGGACGTTGCTCTTGTCTTTTCCAAGCTCATTTGCATTCATCCTTTCCTGTTGTTAAGAAAGGTAACAATAAGCGGAATATTATTTTTGAGTCAAAGGTGGTTTCAATCTACTTGATAATACGTATGCATGCATATATGATATATCAATATCTTATTCATCTATATATTAATTATAAAACTTAAATTAATAATGTCATCTCACAAATGTAGTGATGTCTTTTAAAAATTTGTGCTTATAGGTGTTGATGCTCTTTTTCGGGGAGGGTCAACTTAGAGAAAATGAGGTTTGCCTTCAGCAGGAAAAGGGTCTGGACCTTCAATAAAGGCTAGCCTGCAGAAGACAAAAATAGGGAAAGCAATCGTTAAGCTTCGGACACCGGTGTGGTGCCGGCCGAAGGCTCTCCAATGCTTAAGTCAGCTAAGAAGGGCAACCTTTGCAGAGTAACAGTAAAAGGTAGAAAAGTAGTTACCCTTTTTACTAGGGTATTGTGTCATTTTTATAGGGAAGTGAAAGTGGGAGGTTTGTGTAGATTTCCGATGTGGGACTTTGTGCAAGTTGTTGTGGTGGTGACACGTGTCATGGAGATTAGGTTTAGCAATTTGTGAGCTTTAGCAATCGGGAGTTTCAACAGGTGCTTGCCACCTCGGAAGAGTGTCTTCTTTCGGCATGAAAGAAGGCATGTCTGCCTTTGGTGCTAGTCGCTTTGAGGCTGGATATGCTCAGTTGATTATGGTGTAAACAACAATTAAATATGGTAGTTTTGAACAAGAAAAAAAATAATCAGGTAGTTTTGACTAATTTACTGTAAATCTGTTCCATCTCCAATACAAGAAGACATCTTTGACAGTTGAAATTGTGCGCTGAGCATTTTCAGATCAGCTTTAAAACCCCATGCCAAGCAGATCTTGTCAGAAGCAATGGACCCAAGCTTTTCAATGAGTTTGGTTGCCAATGGAAGGTAAGATCCGCCATGGTTTTGTTGAGAGGATGAATACAATGCAAGGGAACTGGGCTTTATTGGCTCTTAATAAGATTATGATGAAGATGATTGTATAACACGTCGGATCGAGTAAGCCATTCGTGTTTCATTCCTGCCTCAGTACCCATAATATTGAAACCAGAGATTTCCCCTTCTCGCATTCATTGGAGAAGGGATTCCTGACCTTAAAATTATACTCGTAAAAATAATAATTTTTGAATGAGCAAAAAAATATATAATAGAAATGATTGGATTAGAACAGCAATCAAAACGAAAGTTTTATTTTTTATGAATTGATTATTTAATTCAAGATACAATATAATTCCCAACACCATATCCATAAATCTCCCCAAACGCGTTTCCATACCTAATTTTATCCTTCATATCCGACCTAAAACATACTCTTACAACAACTATTGCCTAGAGATCAAAAGACACTTTTTAAATACTTTTAGTAAGCAAATAAGGCTTTTTTTGGCATTGTCATTATTCAAAGGTGTTACTGCAAAAAAATTAGCCTCCACTACAACAACAACAAAAAAGTGACAATAGTCACCAAATGTCACCAAATAATGATTGACTGTTGCTTTTTTTTTTTTTTTTTTTTTTTTTTTTTTTTTTTTTGTTTGTGTGTTGTGTTTTTTTTTTTTTTTGGGTCATGGTCACTTAACAAGAAACATAGTGGCTTGTGCAAAGCAAAAACAAGGAAACCATATAGAAAAGGGCCAAGGCCGAAGAAAAGCACTTTAAAAAACTCAAAACAGGGCACAAGTTCAAAACGATAATAAATTATTGCATGTTACAAGGTCCAAAACAAATTCAAAGCAGGGAAATATTTAGTAACTCAAATTGAAAACAAAAAAGCAACACAAACACAAACAACATACCCACACAAGATAAGAAGAAAAAAAAATTAGTTGGTTTATGTGCTTATTACACTCTTTTTTTTGGATGTCGTAGTTTTGGCTAATTTAATGTAAGTTTGTCCCATCTAGTTGGGCCCTTAGCCTTTGCACGACGGCGGCGCCAGAATGCCTGTATGGAAGAAGCTGCAAAATGCTCCAATTGAGAACGAGGAAGCTTCCTCTGAAAATGCCACCAAAATTGAGCGACAATTGACTTCAAGTGGTTGGCCCTAATTGAAAATGCTTCAACTTTTGTTTGGGATATAAGATTTGTAGTGGAGATAGGTAACTCTGAAAATGAGCAAAATTTGAATGCCCAATTTAGAAGTTCTTCTCCGTAAAAATCACTTTTCTCAAGGCACTTGCACACATTTGTTCCACCCTTAATAGTTGTGTAGGTCAATGCAGTGCCCCGTGTGATGAAAAACATCTTTCGAAGTGGTTCTCCCTCTCGAATGATATAAACATCCTCGCCATAAGTCACCGGCTTAAGATACTCGCAAATTGCTTTTAACACTTTCTCATCTGTACTTTCAAGCAACGGCATCTACAATATATATATATATATATATATATATAATTTAATAATGTTGAACAAAATTTAATAGAAAGAATCAGAGCAAATTAATCCAACTACTTACTTTCTTTAGTGAAGCCAAGCCGAGACTGCAATTATTACGCATTTGCTCTATTATGTCTGGATATATCGTTTCAATCTTCTGCTGCAATTTAAGCTGATTTGACACTTTTTTTGACCCCTGCATATAATTATTAATTTTATAGATACACTAGAATTAATACAGAAATTTATATGGAGGAGCTTCAAGTTTAAAGACATAAATTTAGTTTAGAATATCGCTTTGTCAAACAAAAAAAGGACATCAGTTTTATTTAAACACCAACCTGCACCCTTGAATTGAGATATACTAAAAATAGTGCCAAGCCACTTATAGAGATCACAATCGAAAAGATGATTTCGTCCTTAAAGAAACTGGTCTGGAGGTTTGAACCAAAAGAACTGCAAAAAGAAAATGAAGAAGCAATATATTTGATTAGTGTTTAATAATCTTTTAACAAAACTGACTCATCTAGAGCATCTCCAAGGATATGTCATTTTTAACATATCTCTTCCACCTTTCAAATCCATATAGGATTTGACTATTCGGTTGGAGCAACTTTAACATTCATTTTTTGTTATTTCATGTCTATATGACAATTTGACATATCAGTTAGAAATGCTCTAAGATAAAGAAATTTTAAAGAAATTTCCTTAGACGACACAAGGAAGAATTGATGGGTTTAAAACTTTGCATGAAATTCTATATATATATATATATATATATATATATAATTAATTGGTAGTGTTAGAATATAAGAACCTTTTTTTAAAGTCAGAAATATAAGAACGTGTTTACTACTATGACATCCTGGTAAATTGTAATTATAGGATCAAAACATGATTTATTTATTTTTAAGGGATCATCATGAAAAGTTAAAAAACCTCATAAATATACAAACCTCAGATTTCGCAAGCCCCACCAAATACATTGCAACATCTTCACTGGAAGATCTCTTGAGCTTGTCATATTAGATTGGAGAGCGTATAGATATATACCATAATCGAAAGGTAAACTTGTTACATTTGCTGAAAGTTGTACAGCGCATGCTTCGTGTAAACGCGAGACATTGAACATCATATTGTTTTCTGGAGTGAAGCTACTGCAATAGAAGAAATAAACTCGCGTTTCACGAGCACATACATCATAAATTTTACAGATATGCTCCTGCCAGCAAACCATCTTTCGGTCCACAGCAAAAAAGTACCACAAGGCTCCGAATAGCTGAAGGACCAACGAGTAGATAGTCAATAATCAATAGTTCATCGAAAATTTGAAAAGTATGAAATAATTCCCAAAAAAAAAAGATCTAATATATTTTTCTACAATTAATTAACAATTAATTTAAATAAACAAAAATAAAGTAAAATTCACTCATATTTTTCTACAATTATTCCTGTTCTTTTCTTTCTCTAATCTTTTGAGCAATAATTGAAAGGGGGGAAAATAATGCTAATGTACGAGTTGATAATTTTTTTCTTCAAGTATGGTAGACAAGATTGAAACTTACATGAGCAGTAAGGATGAATGGAAGGAAGTCCAGAGCAGCTTTAAGCAATCTTTTTACTGCTGCGGTCTCTAAGTTAGCATGCTGATCGAGCCATCGGTAGAGGTTATGAGCCCGTAGAGTATATTGGATTGGAATTAGATAAAAAAGATTACTGTTATCAAGGTATGTGTATTTTCCAATGAATATGATTGCCTGGACACAATTAAGCCAACAGTTAAAATTTGATTACTGTGTAACCAATATTAAGTAATTATTAACATATAAAGATAAATGTTTATGTATGTTGCCAAGTCTAAACATAACTCTGGCATGAGTAGTTTTTTTTATATATTAATATTAATTTCACGATAAGATATTTAATTACGTGGAAAAAGGCTAGTTTTCTTAGGTACGAACTCTTATACCTGTAGAATGGGAAGAGCAGCACAAATGCGAGGTAGAATGCCTAAGAACCTAAGTGATTTTTGGCCATTCAACACCTTCCAAATTCTGGAATCATGACCGCCAAAATGCTTTGTCCAGGAGGCCCCAAATGGCTTGGCATTAACATTGCTGCGACGCTTTATGAAAACCAAAACGTCCATTCCATAAAATAGATCGCCGGCTGATCGTAAGGCCAAAAATGTCCACATCAAGGTTTGGTCCCAATAGTAGCACGTGCTATCGTCGATGATGACGGGAACGTAGCAGCTCAAAGGATCAACGAACACAGCAAATGCAGATGCTACTGTAAATATGATCTCCCACTTTGGAAGCAATTTTTTTGGCTGCTGATGAATCTGATATGCGTTATTAACAACTTCCTCCTGTTTTGACCCTTTTGCTGCAGCACTGCTTGTACTTGTGTGTCCTCCATCTTCCTTGAGCTTGGAAGATTCCCCCTCCTCATCTAGATTACTGAACAAGACACAACAAATTAACAAATATATAATCGCGTCCAAGAGAAATAAAAATTAAGTATATATCGGTTATATGCACTTCTAACACGTATATGTAAGTGATGAATATAATATACTTAATTTTAACATTCATGCATATTTTTCATCATGTATGTATATGTTCTTCATTTTTACCTTTTGGTTAGGTAGATTATATGTAAATTAATTATGTGTATTATATTAATAATAAAAATAAATCGCTTTTAATTGTATAAAAAAAATCAAGTGTTTTTAATTTGTTTCTATTATTTACGAAATAATCATAAAAACTAAGAAATAAATGAAAATTGGGTTTTTATTCAATAACTATAATAGGAGGGTTCTTCCCAACATTTTGGTCATTGACTCGGTCTATATTGAAAGGCCCATATAATTAATCAGGCAATAAAATAGAATTTTCCTAACATATATATATAGTGCCCTTTTATTAAGGGATCTCACAAATAATTTTATTTGAAGGACACCATTTAAGGTTCCTTACGAAGAAAAAAAAATAACAATCCAAACCATCTATTTTTCACATCTTCATTCAAAGATCATCCTTGCAAATTGAAAATCATTAAGGCATCTAATTGAGACCAACAAAATCAATGAACATGGTGCTTTAAGAAAGTACTATAATTTCAATAATTTAATTAAGTGGTCAAATAATATCGGATTCAAGTGGATTTTTGTAGAGATGATCTTTGAATGAATATCTACAAAATAAATGGTTTGGATTAGTAAAATACAATGTTAAGTGGGCTCTACAAGAGTGTCCCTCAAATAAAAACATGTGCTTTTGTCTTGGTATGGAGAAGAAAAGTAGCTTTTATTTATTTAAAAACCCAAATCTGCTCAAGTTTAGCTATATATATATACATCCCTTCTATTGAAGGATCCCTCAAATAAAATTATTTGAGGGACTCCTAACGATTTTTTATCAATGATCCAAACCATCTATTTTTTAAGTCACATTCACATACCATCCTTGCAAAAAATTAGACAAATTGGAAACCGTTTCGACATACAATTGTGTCATACAAAATCAATGAATACGGTGCTTCAAGAAAATACTAAAATTTCAATAACTCAATTGAGCGGTCAAATTATATCGGATTCAAGTGATTTTTCACAGAAATAAATTAAGTATGCACCTAAAATAGTCCTCATACCATCAAAGTTTCCTATTAAAAAAAACATTAAAAGAAAAAGAAAAAGGCGTTAAGTAAAGAACTTAACCTCAACTCAATTGATACATCTTCAACCGGTTTGATCATATCTCAAGCTTATTTGTATCCTCTCTCTCAATTCTACGGATTATTCAAAAACCCAGGTAGCTCGCTCTTGTTAAACTAGAGTTAATTAGAGTACATACTCCTGCAAATATTAGCCAAATATGAAGTGAAACTTGAAGAATTTTCCTGTCCATGTGTGAGGAGACTGAAGCCCCTTCTAACTTGACAATATATATATATATATGTGTGTGTGTAAGAGAGAATATAGCTACATTATATTGAAACTTACACGCAGCACTGGGTAGGAGCAGATAGCTGAGCGGAGGGATTTGAAGAAAACGAAGAGGAACAAAGTCTGAGACACAGTGACAAAGTTAACAATAACTAACTCAAACTATGGTCCTCGTTTTATAGTTTTATTTCTTAATTTTTATTAATCAACAGCTGTCATTGGGCGAGCGAGTGATCAAATAAAGAAATGAAAAGACTTGACGATATTAATTGGGGCTTATGGGTCTTCTCTTTTGCCCAAGTCTTTTTCTTCTAATATAATCATTTAAGTTACAAAGTCTTCTCTCAACTCAACCAACTAAGATCACCGCGCCCAATGCGCTCATCTGTGTGATGCTGCCACATGCAATGGTCAATGGTCATTTCTAAAGCATATTGTATTTTGTAAGAAAAATATAACGGTTAATTTCGATTTAGTACCATGAACTCTTACTCTTATGGCATGTTTGTCTCTGCACTTTCAATTTTAACAATTACATACCCCAATCTTTTCAATTTTTTGCAATCTGATTCCAAGTTTAACTTTGATATCAAAATTTCCGTTAATTGCTTGCATGGCAGGTGGAGCCCATCTCTTGCCTTAGCAAGAATAGGGCGCTAGAAACACAAATGGGGGCCTGGAGGGCCTCTTGCCTGGCTAGGGCCTCCTGCTAGAAATGCTTTAAGTGGCTCTACTTTTGAGTGCAAGAGTACGAGCTTACTTTTTTGATTAGATAGTCTAATTCATATATGCAAAGTATTTTTTGTTTAATCAAGGAGAAGGACACATTATTTTATTAACCAGAATTGTTAAAAAGAAAACAAAAACTCATTATTTTTTCTCAAGAGTTGGGTGTTCTTGATTTTTTTTTGGTTTTTTTTTGGTTTTTTGTTTTTTTTTGCCAAGTGATTATTGTGTTGGATGTTGTTCAAGTGAGATATTATATTAGTCTTGTTTATTATTATTCTTATTACTAGCCCATTGGTACATGCGTGATTTCTTTTTTCTTTTATTTTTAGAATTAAGAAAAAATAATATGAGTAGTTTCCATAAAAGTATGACTTATTATCTGATTTTGTTTTTATTTTTATTTTTTTAAATATTAAAAAAATGTGAATTTAACATATTATCCCCATTTAATTAATAATTTTAATTCTTAATGTTTGAATTAACCAAGGACATTTTCTAGTATTTTGAATATTTCACCATTCTCTATCTTTTGCTTTATATATATACTAGCCTCTCCGCACGCGCTTTCGCGCCTGTTATAATGAAAATTCCAGCTGCTACCTACCTCAAAGTGGTTGTTTGGGGGTGGGTGAAGATTCTTTGGAAATGTAATAAACCCTTCAATTGGAGATGCAATTTGACATAAGATAAAGAAATGTTTAGAATCAAAGAAATTTCCTTAGACGACACAAGGAAGAATTGATGGGTTTAAAACTTTGCGCGAAATATATAAATAAAACTAATTGGTAGTGTTAGAATATAAGAACGGTTTAAAAAAATAATAATATCAGAAATGCAAGAACGTGTTTACTACTATGACATCCTTGTAAATTGTAATTATGGGATCAAAACATGATTTATTTATAAATATACCAACCCCAAATTTTGCAGGCCCCACCAAATACATTGCAACATCTTCACCGGAAGATCTCTTGAGCTTGTCATATTAGATTGGAGAGCGTTTAGATATATACCAAAATCGAAAGGTAAACTTGTTACATTTGCTGAAAGTTGTACAGCGCACGACTCCTGTAAAAGCCTGATATCGGCGAACGTATCTCGTGTTAGATTTAAAGTAGTGCAATGGAATACACGATCAAGTTTTTCACGACCACACATATGTTCATATTTTTTACAAACATGCTCCTCCCAACAAACTAGTTTTCGGTCCACAGCAAAATAGTACCACAAGGCTCCGAATAGTTGAAAAGGAGCAAAAAGCACATCGTTAATAATCAATATATAGTTCATTGAAAATTTGAATAATGATACTAAATGCCTCCATATAATATTGTGTGTGTGTATATATATATCTCAAGGTTTCAGCAAGTAACTAAACATAATTAACATTAATTAAAGCAAACTTCGTGGAGGTTAAAAGCATATTAAGAACAAGGTTGATTTTTTTTTCTTTAAATGCGGAAGATAAGATCGAAACTTACATGAGCAGCAAGGATAAATGGAAGGAAGTCCAGAGCATATTTAAGCAATCTTTTTACTGTGGTCTCTATGTTAGCATGCCGATCGAGCCATTGGTAGAGATTATAAGCCCGTAGAGTATATTGGATCGGAATTAGATAAAAAAGATTACCGTATATGCTACCAAAGTATGTATATTTTCCGGTGAGTATGATTGCCTGGACACATTTAAAGCCAACAGTTAAAAATTTGACTACTGTATAATTAACCAATATTAAATCATTATTAACATACAAAGATAAATGTTTATGTATGTTGCCAAGTCTAGACAAGGTAATATTCCAGTTTTTGACAGCATAACTCTGGCATGGCGGCATGAGTAATAGTTTTTTTTTAAATTATATTATTTTCAGGATAAGATATTTAATTACATGGAAGAAGAACGATCTTATATACCTGTAGAATGGGAAGAGCAGCACAAATGCGAGATAGAATGCCTAAGAACCTAAGTGATTTGAACCTAAGTGATTTCTGGCCATTCAACACCTTGCAAATTGTGGAATCAGGACCGCCAAAAAACTTCATCCAGGAGGCCCCAAATGGCTTGGCATTACCATTGCCGCGACGTCGGTTTATGGAAACCAAAATGGGATTACCTTTGCTGCGACTTCGCCTTAGGAAAACAAAAATGTCCATTGCATAAAATAGATCGCCGACTGATCGTAAGGCGAAAAATGTCCACACCAACTTTGGGTCCCAATAGTAGCACGCGCTATTGTCGACGATGATGGGAATGTAGCAGCTCAAAGGGTCAACGAACACAGCAAGTGCAGATGATACTGTAAATATGATATCCCACTTTCGCAGGAATATTTTTGGCTTAACAACTTCCTCCGGATTTGGTGCAGCACTACTTATACTTCTGTGTCCTCCATCTTCCTTGAGCTTGGAAGATTCCCCTTCTAAAATAATATTCCTATTTAGATTACTGAACAAGACACAACAAATTAACAAATTAACAAATATATATAAAATCGCGTCCAAGAGAGAGAAAAATTAAGCATATATATCGGTTATATTCACTTCTAACATGTATATATAAGTGATGAATATATATATATATATATATGTATATGTGTATATGTGTTCTTCATTAATTTTTACCTTTCGGGTAGATAGATTATATATATGTATATTAATTATGTGCATTATATAAAAAAATAAAGCGCTTTTAATTGTATAAAAAAAATAAAGTGCTTTTAATAATTTGTTTCTATTATTTACCTTGAATGGAAAAATAGTTATAAAAACTAAGTAATAAATGAAAGGGAGTTTCACTAAAACACCCAAAATGGGGGCTAAAATTATAAAAAAAACCCAACACCCAAAACACTTTATAAACACACCAAAAACCCATCATTACACACCCTCAAAACCCATTTATAAACACACCCAAAAAATATACAATTGTTGATTTTTGGGTTGATTTGGGTGTGTTTCTATGTTTAAATAGTGCTTGGGTTTTTTTTTATAAATACATGTCTATGATTGGGTTTATTTATAAATTTGTATAAATGAAAATTGGATTTTTATTCAATAACTATAATAGGAGGGTTTTTCTTAACATTTTGGTTGTTGATTGGGTCTATGTTGAAAGGCCCTATAATTAATCAAGAAATAAAATAGATTTTTCCTAACAACTATATATATATAGTCCCCTTTTATTGAGAGATCCCTTAAATAATTTTATTTGAGGGACATCCTTTAGGATATCCTAAGAAATATTTTCCAACGATCCAAACCATCTATTTTTCACATATACATTTAGAGATCAGCCTTGCAAAAAATCATGCAAATTGAAAATCATCAAGGAATCTAATTGAGATCAACGAATTCATTGAACACGGTATTTTAAGAAAGTACTTGAATTTCAATAATTTAATTAAGTGGTCAAATGATATCGGATTCAAGTGATTTTTTTTATAAAAATAATATTTGAATGAATATCTATAAAATAAAAGGTTTGAATTAGGGAAATACAATGTTGAATGGGCCTTGGAAGGGTGTCCCTCAAATAAGCTTATTTGAAAAATCACTTAATGAAAGCTTTCCGTATTATAATATATATGAAATTTGCATTTTCTGAAAACAGGTGCTTTTGTCTTGGTTTGAAGAAGAAAGGTAGCTTTTAGCTTTTATTTATTTAAAAACCCAAATTTGCTCAAGTTTAGCTCATTATTATTGTTATTTTCTTATATATATAGCTCATTATTATTATTTTCTTTTATATATACACAGTTTTTTTTATGCGAACATTGTAAATTGGGAGGAATGTAAGGAAGGGTACGTAGTGGAAAATACATGACATTCGCACATTAATAAGGTTCGGATCATATCTCAAGCTTATTTGTATCCTCTCTCTCAATTCTACGGATTATTCAAAAACCCAGGTAGCTCGCTCTTGTTAAACTAGAGTTAATTAGAGTACATACTCCTGCAAATATTAGCCAAATATGAAGTGAAACTTGAAGAATTTTCCTGTCCATGTGTGAGGAGACTGAAGCCCCTTCTAACTTGACAATATATATATATATATGTGTGTGTGTAAGAGAGAATATAGCTACATTATATTGAAACTTACACGCAGCACTGGGTAGGAGCAGATAGCTGAGCGGAGGGATTTGAAGAAAACGAAGAGGAACAAAGTCTGAGACACAGTGACAAAGTTAACAATAACTAACTCAAACTATGGTCCTCGTTTTATAGTTTTATTTCTTAATTTTTATTAATCAACAGCTGTCATTGGGCGAGCGAGTGATCAAATAAAGAAATGAAAAGACTTGACGATATTAATTGGGGCTTATGGGTCTTCTCTTTTGCCCAAGTCTTTTTCTTCTAATATAATCATTTAAGTTACAAAGTCTTCTCTCAACTCAACCAACTAAGATCACCGCGCCCAATGCGCTCATCTGTGTGATGCTGCCACATGCAATGGTCAATGGTCATTTCTAAAGCATATTGTATTTTGTAAGAAAAATATAACGGTTAATTTCGATTTAGTACCATGAACTCTTACTCTTATGGCATGTTTGTCTCTGCACTTTCAATTTTAACAATTACATACCCCAATCTTTTCAATTTTTTGCAATCTGATTCCAAGTTTAACTTTGATATCAAAATTTCCGTTAATTGCTTGCATGGCAGGTGGAGCCCATCTCTTGCCTTAGCAAGAATAGGGCGCTAGAAACACAAATGGGGGCCTGGAGGGCCTCTTGCCTAGCTAGGGCCTCCTGCTAGAAATGCTTTAAGTGGCTCTACTTTTGAGTGCAAGAGTACGAGCTTACTTTTTTGATTAGATAGTCTAATTCATATATGCAAAGTATTTTTTGTTTAATCAAGGAGAAGGACACATTATTTTATTAACCAGAATTGTTAAAAAGAAAACAAAAACTCATTATTTTTTCTCAAGAGTTGGGTGTTCTTGATTTTTTTTTGGTTTTTTTTGGTTTTTTGTTTTTTTTTGCCAAGTGATTATTGTGTTGGATGTTGTTCAAGTGAGATATTATATTAGTCTTGTTTATTATTATTCTTATTACTAGCCCATTGGTACATGCGTGATTTCTTTTTTCTTTTATTTTTAGAATTAAGAAAAATAATATGAGTAGTTTCCATAAAAGTATGACTTATTATCTGATTTTGTTTTTATTTTTATTTTTTTAAATATTAAAAAATATGAATTTAACAAATTTATAAATAAACCCAATCCTAAACATGTATTTATAAAAAAACTCAAGCACTATTTAAACATAGAAACACACCCAAAATCAACAATTGTATATTTTTTGGGTGTGTTTATAAATGGGTTTTGAGTGTGTGTAATAATGGATTTTGGGTGTGTTTATAAAGTGTTTTGCGTGTTGGGTTTTTTTATAATTTCAGCCCCCATTTTGGGTGTTTTAGTGAAACTCCCTAAAATTAATTGGTAGTGAATATAAGAACGCTTTTTATAAAAAAATCAGAATATATGCTAGCACCATTATCCTAATCTAGATCCATTGAGCTTTTAAATTACAAAGTAAAATTATACGAGTGTCAAATATGATTAATCATAACCAAACAGAATATGGTTGTTCTGTATTTTTGTTTTGCAAAGTTCCTTTAGTTTATTTTATCAGCAGGTCTTATTATTTGCTTCTGAATGTATGGATTTGAGCACACACTTGAATCACCTTAGTTGTTGCTAGCAATACGGAGTCCTACCTTGACGGATCCTTCTTAGTGCCTAGGATGTCACTTGGAATGCATATGCCATGTGTTTGATAATTTGATTGAATGAGTTTTCAGTTTCAGAATTGATTTAGGATGTTTGTGTCTCGTCTGCAAAAAGTAGTATTGGATGACTAGTTCTGAATGCAAAAGGTTTAGTTAAAGTCAGGTATGTGCGCAGTTTGTTTGGTTGATTGTTATTGGGTAATACTTTGGTACAGTCTATGTAACGTAGGCCATCTGATTTCTTGAGCCAAGTCATCTATCATCTGTTACGTTTTAACTCAGAGTCCTTGTTCTCATTGATTCATTGTCATTGGTGATTCTGCCGCTTACTCCCACTAAATAAAAGGATTTAACTTAACAAACTCTATTAAACAAGTAACCAGAATAAATAAAAAATTTGTGCTTACTAATTGTTTCATCTTCAACAATATAATAGGGATGAGAACATGACCAAGCGAATCGGAGCTTGGTACCAGGGAAAAAAATTAGAAACTATTGAATGAAATATGCAGAATTTAAAATTTAATAATATTCATGTTACACGACTAGAACACACTTAGCAATATACACATATTACTTTATATCATAATTTCCCCGAACCAGCCCCAACCTCATATCCAAAAAAATTTCCCAAAGCTATCCCCAAACATAATTTTATTCTTCACACGACCCATTAACATCAGAAAATTGCCATCCCTATACAATAAACCACATCGATCACATTACTATGAAGAAAAATAAAATCAGGAAGACCAAATCCAAAATACCAAATTTAGAAAGCAATGAGAGCTGCAAGAATCGAAAGCAAAACAGAGAACAAAACCACGTTTCCTCCACTCCCAATCCTCAAAGCCCCTCCTGCAATACCACCCCCACCACGGCCACTAGCGAGACAGTCCACCTTGTTAGTCGTCCTAGGGGGAGTGCGAGTGCCCGTATTGGGAGCTGGAGCAGCAAAGCAGTGGACAGGTCTAGGGCGATCAATGCTAGTGCCCGTAGTGGTCTTAGCTACCAAGGACAAGGTCTGAAAGGACTCCAGGTTGGGGCCGACGATGTCATGTTTGTCGGGGAAACCAGAGGTTTGGTTGACCTTGGGCCCCACCTGCCAGACTTGGTTCACAGACTTCTCGTTTTTGGGAACCTTAACGGCGGCGAAGATCTTGAACGTTCCGTCGGAGAACTCGGAGCTGATGTCCCAGATATCGAACGAGAGTTTTCCCGGTACCAAGGAGGTGTATGAGCTGATGTTGAAGGTTTTGACGGTTGGGATCCCACTATCTGTGTTGTAGGCCAAGAGTATCTGTGCCCCAGCCATCTTGGTGGAGGTGGGGTTGATGCCCCACGCTACCCAGCCGTCAGATTGGGAGGGCATAGAGACGAAGGCGATGGACAGAGAGGAGTTGGAGGTGTCGTAGGTCCAGTGGAGGTAGGAGCTGAGGACGGGCAGGTCGGTGCAGCTGGAGTAGAGCTTCTTTTTATTGAATGCCTGTGAGGTGCAGGTGGCTGCTTGTGCTGGTGAGACTAGCAGAGCCAGGAAGGAAGAGAACGATGAAACTGACACAAGAAGAAGAAGAGAGGACGCCATTGGGGGGGGAGAGAGAGAGAGAGAGAGAGAGAGAAATTTGGACAAACCGAAGAAAGGATAAATGTCTTTAGCAAAAGCTGAAGAGAAGATAAATGTCTGAAATATTCAATTATGGCCCAATGAAGTTGCAGTGTTGCCAAAATTAGAGTTCCACTCTTTGTTCCTTTTCCCCACTCATCTTATTTGTAAATGACTTCTTATTCAGTATATTGACAGTCGATATAACCCAAAATGAGTATTTAAAAAATGAAGAGAAGTTCTTACTTTAGTTTTGAAATTTTGATTTTACAAGATTGAATCTGGTTTGAAGGAAAGAAAGAGAAGCAAAAGCCACTTGAAGCGAAGAAGTAAAACCCAGGAGGTCTCTTCTCCAGGGTTAGCAGAGCAAACACAAAAAACTGCATCAGAAATACAACTTCCTGCGGAGAAGGTATTACTCCGAAATAGTCATTTCTTGCCCAATTAACTTGCACTCATGTTATAGTCTTGATTGGTTCTTAGTTTGAATTGAATCAAGGATATTTTAGGAATACTGATGTGTGAAAAGATATAATTGTGTTTTTTTTAGATTTATATAGTGAGTGAAAAGACAAGTCTAGAAAACTAAAAGAAAGTATTTCATATTCTATGGCTCAATGAAAGTTGGAGTGGTGTCGTTGTCTTTGGCCAAAAAGATGAAATAATTCTGCTTTATTCAAGTGGCAAATCTCTCCTCAAAGCAGATAAGACGTTGCTCTTGTCTTTTCCCAACTCATTTGCATTCATCCTTTCCTTTCCTGTTGTTAAGAAAGGTAACAATAAGCGGAATATTATTTTTGAGTGTAATTGACGCATGTTGAATGTAGGGTGGTTACAAAGCAACACAAACACAAGAAAATAAGAAAAGAAAAAAAGTAGTTGGTTTATGTGCTTATTACACTATTTTTTTTGGATGTCGTAGTTTTGGCTAATTTAATGTAAGTTTGTCCCATCCAGTTGGGCCCTTAGCCTTTGCACGACGGCGGCGCCAAAATGCCTGTATGGAAGAAGCTGCAAAATGCTCCAACTGAGAACGAGGAAGCTCTCTCTTAAAATGCCGCCAAAATTGAGCGACAATTGACTTCAAGTGGTTGGCCCTAATTGAAAATGCTTCAACCTTTGTTTGAGACAAAAGAGTTGTAGTGGAGAAAGGTAACTCAGAAAATGAACAAAATTTGAATGCCCAATTTAGAAGTTCTTCTCCATAAAAATCACTTTTCTCAAGGCACTTGCACACATTTGTTCCACCCTTAATAGTTGTGTAGGTCAATGAAGTGCCCCGTGTGATGAAAAACATCTTTTGAAGTGGTTCTCCTTCTCGAATGATACAAACATCTTCGCCATAAGTTACCGGCTTAAGGTACTCGCAGATTGCTTTTAAAACTTTCTCATCTGCACTTTCGAGCAACGGCACCTACCAATCCCATATAATTTAATAATGTTGAACAAAATTTAATAGAAAGAATCAGAGCAAATTAACCCAACTACTTGCTTTCTTTAGTGAAGCCAAGCGGCACATCTTACGCATTTGCTGTATTATGTTTGAATACATTGTTTCAATCTTTTGTTGCAATTTAAGCCGATCTGACACTTTTTTCGACCCCTGCATATAATTATTAATTTTATAAATACACAAGAATTAATATGGAAACTTATATGGAGGAGCTTCAAATTTAAAGACATAAATTTAGTTTAAAATATCGCTTTGTTAAACAAAAAAAAGACATCAATTTTGTTTAAACACCAACCTGCACCCTTGAGTTGAGATATACTAAAAATAGTGCCAAACCACTTATAGAGATCACAATCGAAAAGATGATTTCGTCCTTAAAGAAACTGGTCTGGAGGTTTGAACCAAAAGAACTGCAAAAAGAAAATGAAGAAGCAATATATTTGATTAGTGTTTAATAATCTTTTAACAAAACTGACTCATCTAGAGCATCTCCAAGGATATGTCATTTTTAACATATCTCTTCCACCCTTCAAATCCATATAGGATTTGACTATTCGGTTGGAGCAACTTTAACATTCATTTTTGTCATTTCATGTCTATATGACAATCTGACATATCAGTTGGAAATGCTCTAAGATAAAGAAATTTTAAAGAAATTTCCTTAGACGACACAAGGAAGAATTGATGGGTTTAAAACTTTGCATGAAATTCTATATATATATATATATATATATATAATTAAGTGGTAGTGTTAGAATATAAGAACCTTTTTTTAAAATCAGAAATATAAGAACGTGTTTACTACTATGACATCCTGGTAAATTGTAATTATAGGATCAAAACATGATTTATTTATTTTTAAGGGATCATCGTGAAAAGTTAAAAAACCTCATAAATATACAAACCTTAGATTTCGCAAGCCCCACCAAATACATTGCAACATCTTCACTGGAAGATCTCTGGACCTTGTCATATCAGATTGGAGAGCGTTTAGATATATACCATAATCGAAAGGTAAACTTGTTACATTTGCTGAAAGTTGTACAGCGCATGACTCGTGTAAACGCGAGACATTGAACATCTTATTGTTTCCTGGAGTGAATCTACTGCAATAGAAGAAATATTCAACTGTTTTCCCACATATATCTTCAAATTCACAGATATGCTCCTGCCAACAAACTATCTTCCGTTCCACAGCAAAAAAGTACCACAAGGCTCCGAATAGCTGAAGGACCAATGAGCAGATAGACAATAATCAATATTAAATTTAAATATGGAAGATTAAGATTGAAACTTACATGAGCAGCAAGGATGAATGGAAGGAAGTCCAGAGCAGCTTTAAGAAATCTTTTTACTGCCGTCTCTATGTTAGCATGCTGATCGAGCCATTGGTAGAGGTTATAAGCCCGTAGAGTATATTGGATTGGAATTAGATAAAATAGCTGCTGGTACGTTTTAATAAGGTATGTATATTTTCCAACGAGTATGATTGCCTGGACACATTTAAAGCCAACAGTTAAAATTTGATTACTGTGTAAATAATTATTAACATATGAAGATTACTGTTTAATTATTAACCTAGATAAGATAGCTGTAGCTTCTCTTCGGTACGATCTTATATACCTGTAGAATAGGAAGAGCAGCACAAATGCGAGGTAGAATGCCTATGAACCTAAGTGATTTCTGGCCATTCAACACCTTGCAAATTGTGGAATGAGGACCGCCAAAAAACTTTATCCAGGAGGTCCCAAATGGCCTGGCATTAACATTGCCGCGACGCCGCTTTATGAAAACGAAAATGTCCGTTGCATAAAATAGATCACCGGCTGATCGTAAGGCGAAAAATGTCCACATCAAGGTTTGGTCCCAATAGTAGCACGTGCTATCGTCGATGATGACGGGAACGTAGCAGCTCAAAGGATCAACGAACACAGCAAATGCAGATGCTACTGTAAATATGATATCCCACTTTGGAAGGAATATTTTTGGCTGATGATGAATCTTATATGCTTTAATAACAACTTTCTCCAGTTTTGACCCTTTTGCTGCAGCACTACTTGTACTTCTATGTCCTCCATCTTCCTTGAGCTTAGAAGATTTCCCCTCCTCTAAAATAATATTCTCATCTAGATTACTAAACAAGACACAACAAATTAACAAATATATAATCGTGTCCAAGAGAAAGAAAAATTAAGTATATATCGGTTATATGCACTTCTAACATGTATATATAAGTGATGAATATAATATACTTAATTTTAACATTCACGTGTTCTTCATTTTTACCTTTTGGCTAGCTAGATTATATGTATATTAATTTTGTGCATTATATAAAAGAATAAAGCGCTTTTAATTGTATAAAAAAATTAAGTACTTTTAATAATTTGTTTCTATTATTTACCTTGAATGACAAAATAGTTATAAAAACTAAGTAATAAATGAAAATTGGGTTTTTATTCAATAACTATAATAGAAGAGTTTTTCTTAACATTTTGGTCTTTGACTGGGTCTATATTGAAAGGTCCTATAATTAATCAAGCAATAAAAATATATTTTTCCCTATATAGTCCCCTCTAATTGAGGGACACCCTTTAGGGTATTTTACGAGAAAAAAAATTCAACAATGCAAATCATCTATTTTTCACATATTCATTCAAAGATCATCCTTACAAAAAATCATACAAATTGAAAATTGGGAGAAAAGTAAGGAGGGTTAGTAAAAAATATATGATGTTCGCACATTAATAACGTCCGGATGTCATAAGACAAAGGCCTCAATCGGTGAAACATTCAAAACCGTTATTATGTCCTTACATAATAGAAATGCTAGAACATCATAATCTAATATAATAAGGGTAAAATAGTAAACATTAATTTAAAATTATAAAATAAAAAATAAATTCCACCTAAATAATTACATGAAAGCAGTCACTCCCCACTTAATCCACATTGCTCACTTTTCAGTTTTCTTTTCAAACTTTTAATTTAATTTACTAAATTATAAAATCAATAGGCACAAGGATGAGTATACCAAGAGACTAGTTTATCTTTAAAGATTCTATACTGCCCATACATTATTACTAATACTATTATTATTATGTATTAATATTGCACATAAACCATTACAAGTCTTTACGCCAATGTATATATGCATAGTGTAGTGGTAGTAGAAAAGTTGTTTAATTGGTCATGGTGGATTGGATTAAAGCCACCTACGATACGTAGGTGAAGAAAGATCCTAATAAAACATGTTTAAGTCACTGCAAATGCGAGACCCTATTGTTTCATAAAACATCTACTTAATGAAAATGAAAAAGGTCTTAGAGTACATAAAGAAATTAACCTCAACTCAATTGATACTTTATCAACCGGATCGATCATGTCTCGAGCTTATTTATGACGCAGGATCTTTTCTGAAGTGTACGAGTTATTCACAAACCCAAGTAGCTCGCTCTTGTTAAACCACAACTCCAAATTATTGAGTATGTACTCCTGCGAATAGTAGCCAAATATGGAAAAGAGTGGAAGTTAAAGAATTATCAAATTAATATCCTGAGTACGTGTGTGTATATATATATATCATTTGGATGTCCGCACGTTATTACTCTGCAGATGCTAATGTAAATATGAAGGAAAACATAGAAGGATAATAGAAAATACATGGTGTGTGGTTGTGGGCGTGGGAGTATGGGACGTGGTCATGGGTGTGGCTGTTGTTTCTTGTAGAATTTTGGCGTGGTTGCTGTCGTTTTGGGCGTTAGTGTATTGGATGGGGACAACTGTATGTGATTGAGCTTAAATGAAATAAGATAATTTAGAAGTTAGAGAAAGAAACTAACCTTTCAATCAGGAATCAAAGGGAGCAAAAACTAACCTTACGGCTGTTGAGTCATGATTGGAGACCCCCATAACTCAAGCTTATTGATGAGCAGCAGTAGGGAGCTTGTTATAAGAACCCTGCGAATAGTCAAATATGTGTGCGGAAAACTAAAAGTTGGATATAATTATCAAATTTTAATCCTCCTAGTGAGAAGCCCCCTGCTAATAACCTGAGACTGCAGAGATGATTCATATAAAAGAAATGCATTGAGACTTATACAAATTAGCTTAATTTATACGGGTGCAGGGTGGAGCAGAGAGAAAAAGAGAGGAGCAATTTGGACGGAGAGGAAACTTTGTCTTTTGGCACCAAAAAAAAAAAGAGAGAAGATAAATGTCTGAATTCCATTTCAAGTATGGCCCAGTAAGATGAAAAAAATTTGATTCCACTAGGCTTCCTGCTTAATTATTTGCGTCTTTGTGCTAGAGACCTGACCTACAAGTTGGAAACGGGCCCCCTTCGCTTTAGGGATTGTATTTTGAATGATTGCCTGGTTTGAACAGTGATTAATGTCTCTAATTTGTTTTATGTCATCTTAAAAGACAGTTCCACAAAATAATGTTGACTCCTGCAAATGGTGGAAAACTAAAAGTTTGATATAATTATCAAATTTTAATCTAGTCCTAATGAGAATCCTTGCTAACCCTGTGTGTGTGTGTGTGAGAGAGAGAGAGAGAGAGAGAGAGAGAGAGAGAGAGAGAGAGAATTTTTCAAAAATATATACACTTATGCGACAAATGAAAATAGGCATGTCTGATTTCTGCTGGGCAGCCAAAAAAAGTCGAAAAATTAAAGAAAGTATTTCATATTCTATGGCCCAAAAAAAGATGAAAATGTTCAGCTTTATTAAAGCAGGGCAACTCTCTCTCTTAAACGCAGATAACACGTTGCTCTTATCTTTTCCCAGCTCATTGCATTCATCTTCTCTTATTGTTTAAAAAAAAGTAACAATAAGCAGATAGGAGGCAACCTGTAAGTCTTTTCTTGTGAAATTTTTTTTTAGTGTAATCGACAAATGTGAAATTTATGTGGGATGTTTTCAATCCACTTTATAATACATATACATATATCAGTTGTCTCATGCATCTAATACCTATAGAGGACACTAATTGTTCTTCCTCCAGTTGGTCGTTTTGATGCAACACTACTTGTACTTCTGTGTCCCCCTCCTCTAAAATAATATTTCCATCTAGATTATTAAACAAGACACAACAAATTAACAAATATATAATCGCGTCTAAGAGAAAGAAAAATTAAGTATATATATCGGTTATATGCACTTCTAACAAGTATATACAAGTGATGAATATAATATACTATAATTTTAACATTCATGCATATTTTTCATCATGTATGTATATGTTCTTCATTTTTACCTTTTGATTAGGTAGATCATACGTAAATTAATTATGTGTGTTCTATATATATATATATATATATATATATATATATATATAAAGCGCTTTTAATTGTATAAAAAAAATAAGTGTTTTTAAGGTGTTTCTATTATTTACTTTTAAAGGCAAAATAATCATAAAAACTAAGTGCCCGTTTGGCATTACTTATTTGGGGTGATAAGTGTTTTAAAAAAAAATTTGGCAAGCCCAGCCTGTTTGGTAAACTATGAGAAAATCACTTATTATTAAAAATTGTTGTGAAAGAAAGCTATAAGGGAAAGCAGCTAATAAGGTGCTTTCATTTTCTGATTATACAAGAATCAGTTTTGAAGAGGCGTTAGATTTAATGATTATGAGGGAATTATTTTCTGATTTTGCAGGAATTAGTACCAACAACATATTTAACAAAAAGTTTACCAAACGCCAAACTGCTTTCTCTCACAGATGATTTCTTCACAACAAATCTAACGGCAATTATTTTCACAGCACAGTAATGCCAAACTAGCCCTTAGTAATAACTGAAAATTGGGTTTTTTTTCAATAACTATAATAGGAGGGTTTTTCCCAACATTTTGGTCGTTGACTCAGTCTACATTGAAAGGCCCATATAATTAATCAAGCAATAAAATAGAATTTTCATAACAACTATATATATATATATATATATATATAGTGTCTTTTTATTGAGAGATTCCTCTAATAATTTTATCTGAATGACACCCTTTAGGGTCCCTTACGAAGAAAAAAAAATTTAACAATCCAAATCATCTATTTTTCACATCTTCATTCAAGGATCATCCTTGCAAATTGAAAATCATTAAGGTATCTAATTGAGACCAACAAAATCAATAAATATGGTGCTTTAAGAAAGTACTTGAATTTCAATAATTTAATTAAGTGGTCAAATGATATTGGATTTAAGTGGATTTTTGTAGAGATGATCTTTCAATGAATATCTACAAAATAGATAGTTTGGATTAGTGAAATGCAATGTTGAGTAGGCTCTACAAGGGTGTCCCTCAAATAAACTTATTTGAGGGATCCCTCAATGAAAGCTCTATCTATATACACAAAATTACATCAGATTCAAGTGATTTTTCACAAAAATAAATTAAGTATGCACCTAATATAGTCCTCATACCATCGAAGTTTCCTCTGAAAAAAAAATTAAAAGAAAAAGAAAAAGGTGTTAAGTAAAGAACTTAACCTCAACTCAATTGACACATCTTGAACCGGTTTGATCATATCTCAAGCTTATTTGTATCCTCTCTCTCAATTCTACGGATTATTCAAAAACCCAGGTAGCTCGCTCTTGTTAAACTAGAGTTAATTAGAGTACATACTCCTGCAAATATGAAGTGAAACTTAGAGAATTTTCCTGTCCAAGTGTGAAGAGACTGAAGCCCCTTCTAACTTGACAAATATATATATATATGTGTGTGTGTGTGTGTAAGAGAGAATATAGCTACATTATATTGAAACTTGCATGCAGCACTGGGTAGGAGAGAGAGCTGAGAGGAGGGATTTGGAGAAAACGAAGAGCAACAAACTCTGAGACACAGTGACAAAGTTAACAATAACTAACTCAAATTATGGTCCTCGGGTTATAGTTTTATTTCTTAATTTTTATTAATCAACAACTGCCATTGGGCGAGCAAGTGATCAACTAAAGAAATGAAAAGACTTGACATGTTGTAAAGAATGTGGTTGAGCCCACATAAAGAAAAGAATGAATGAATTTGTCTGCCATCTTCCCTTGCAGCCAACCGTACATCACGGGTGCTTCAGTCTATTTGAAAGCTTCATCTCTCCATTGCCATGCAGAGAGAAAAAAGGAGAAATGATAACACACTCAACTGAGAGAAGAAAAGAAAGTGAGGAATCTTGAGAGTTAGAGAGCTCTATCTGAGAGAAAATTCTATCAATGTAGTAAAACCACAATAGCACACTTGGATCCTCTTTTGCCCAAGCCTTTTTCTTGTAATATAATAATTTAAGTTGTT